TCTTGTTGGATATGTGGTGGTGGTGGTGGGGGGGGGGGGTTGATACTCTTGGTAAAAAGTGTAGGTCACTGAAACACTCTCGCAGGAACGTATTGATTGCGTACCGTATTTTCCGAAGTATAGTGCGCACTTTAGATGTGCTATTTTTGGCCCTAAATCGCAGGTGCGCACTATGCTCCGAATATGAAATGGATGTACTTCAATGAGGATAGAAGTGCGCACCCCCAATGAAGATTTGGGGTGCGCGTTATACTAAAGGTTTGTTTGTTTGTTCCTTTTATTTGAATTCGTTTAGAGCACAGGCAAGTCTGCCTTCTCACCAGAGGAAAAACTTCCGGTTCCTGCTAAGAACGAATATAATATTATGAGAGAAGGAAATATTTAAAAGAATCATAACATGATAATTCCAAAGCACAAAGTTTGTATATAATTCAAATGGGTGTGTGTATGTGTAAGCATGCAGTGAAGAAAACACCGAGAAAACATGCAGTAATGTTTAGGGATGCCGAGCAAGGTGGTAACAAATTACAATTAATTCTGTTCAGATCCAGTTTAAAGGCAACCGCCGCATTGTGGAGGCGAATATCGCTGGGAAGGGCATTCCAAAGAGTGCTTCCCACAAATGTCAATGACTGACGACCGGAAGGTCCAGGAAGGAAAGGCACTTGCAGTAGCCGCTGCTCCTGTCCTCGAGTAATTCGGCGATCATCCCGGGATGCTTGACCTGTGTTAGCCATCAACTGAAAGTAGGTGCAGAAAAGAGGACTTGCAAGATCATGTAGGCAACGGAAAACAAAAAACAAAAACCTTGTAGTTAAAAATGTGAGTTAGGGATCGAATAGATAAGCGCACGAGGAGGGGGGCTGTGGTTGCACGGCTGGAGAGTCGGAAAATTGCACGAATTCCGGATTTGCTGGATTTGATTAAACGACTCTGCAGCTGCTGTGTCAGCGACGGGAAGAATGCATTGGATGCGTACGTTAGTCGTGCTTGCACAATGCCAATGTACCAAAGTCTGCGGGCTCTTATGGGCAGAGATCGCCCATGGCGCCATAGCTGGCTGATGGCGACTGACGCCTTCTGCACAACACTGGAGACATGTGGCTGCCAGGATAGCTGGTCATCAATGGTTACGCAAAGGTATTTGGCAGTGGAGGTATGATCCTTACATTTCACGACTGGTATGTCGCCAGTGAGTCCCCGAGGTTGAATTACCATGACTTGGGTTTTGCGGGTGTTCAGCAGAAGCCCAATTTCGGAGAGCCAGTCAGACAGACGTGTCACAGCTGTTGTCAACGTCTTGCAAACAGTGTCCAGATCTGAATCAGAATAATCTAGGATGATGTCGTCCGCGAACTCCTGATGAACAACAGTGCAAGGTGTGACGTCGGAAATGTCACTCGTGTAAAGGACAAAGAGAAGCGGCCCCAGAACACTGCCTTGGGGCACACCTCTTGAGCATGGGACTGCATCAGAGAGAGCCTCACACACCTTGACACGCTGAGTACGACCAGACAGATAGCTAGCCAACCACAACAATACTCTGCCATTGACTCCCAGGGTGAATAGTTTATCAATCAGACGTTGATGTTGGACACGGTCAAACGCTTTTGACATGTCAACCACCACTATACCTGTGTATTTTCGCTCTTGTTTGGCCAACAGCCAACGGTTGGCGGCTAGAACTAATGCATCTTCGGTAGAGTGCATTTTCCTGTAGGCAAACTGACTGCTAGGTAATATGCTATGTTGCGTGAGGTATGCTGTGAGTTGCTTCTTTACAAAGAACTCCAAAATCCGGGACAGAATAGGGAGCAATGACACTGGTCTATAGTTAGTAGGGGATGTTGCATCGCCACTCTTGAACAGTGGACTAATGTGTGATGTTTTAAAACACACTGGCACAGTACCTGTTGTCAAGGATGCATTGAGTAGGGTGGTAAATGGAGGTGCCAGGACATCTGAACACTGCTGCAGTACAATTCCAGGAATGTTGTCACTCCCAGATGCTTTGTGAGGACTCACAGTTTGCAAGCATTGTGCAACATCAGACACGCTTACCGGCTGAAATGTTGAGAAGCTAGATGCAGAGGCTGGACCATGTGGTATATGCAGCTCAGGTGGCCGCATAGGGTCATGCACAATGTCTCCAAACAATTTATTGAGTGACTCAAGCGGCGCTTCAGGTTCTTTCCGTGTCTTCTGTCAGCCTGTGACATCGTTCATGACAGCCCAAAAAAAAGGTGCGCACTATACTCCGAAAAATACGGTATGTTACGAAATTCCGCTCGAGTATTATTTGCGCCCTTCTTGTCTTGTAGAGTCCGATGTCTGATGTGGTAATTATATGGTCTAAGTGTATATGCGAGTATGGTGTGATGTGTGACGCTTATGGTATGTAGTGCATGTAAGAGTACGTGCTGTCAGAGTGTGAGAATCTGCTTTCGTCTGTGTGAGGGGGACTGTCAAGTGAATGTCATGCATGCGCAGCGCTAGTTTTGGTCTGGGAGTGAGAGTCATGTGTGATTCGTCCGTGGTCTGGTTGTCTTGGTCTTAGTCATGTACTCTGTATGCATTGGTCGCTGAATGGTCATCCTGATTTGGCGTAACTTTATCACTGCTTGTTCTTTGTTGTTTCTTCGTGTCTTCTCCCTTCGCCTTTTTGTTTGGGTCTTGCATTTCCTTTCTCCTCCTGCGCCCTCGTCGTTTATTGTCAATAAGAAATGATATGGAATGAGACACACAATCAAGAGTTTGCGTTGCTGTACGGTGGGGGCCTGGGGGAGAAGGTAACAACACACCAGTAGTGGTTCACCTATGCTTATACTGCAGATATTAATGAATGCGCTAGGCCCACGAGCGGCAACTGCAGCCTGGCATCAACGTCATGCTTCAACACTCCCGGCTCCTTCGCGTGCTGTAGTCCTGGCTACCAACCATTCCAATCAGCTTGTGCCAGTAAGTAGCTACAGTCCATTCATTGGAAACTGGCACCCTAACTTTTTGGTGTCTCTCTCACGTAGTTGTAGACATCGTGAAAACAACAGTACATCCTGCATTGTGTGACCCGTGCAATTACTCCTTGCCACATTTGAGGCCAGAAAAGTCCAAGAACAGGGAAATAGAAATTCAGCCAGGTTTTACAAAATTAGGACAGGTATGCCATGGCAAAATGTATGGTGAGCATCCCCCCACCTCACAACAGTGCAACCGAGTTTTTGCATTAAGCTGGGAGTGCCGATTCGAACAACTGGTATAATGGCTCTGCTTGGAGCCGCTAGATGGCTGGCAGCTGAGCCAGCAAATGACTCCGCTTGAAGCAGGCGAATGACTCCGCATGGAGCCGGCGAATGTCCCCGCATGGAGCCGGCAAATGACTCCGCATGGAGCAGGCGAATGACTCCGCATGGAGCCGACAAATGACTCCGCATGGAGCCGGCGAATGACTCCGTATGGAGCCGGCGAATGACTCCGCATGGAGCAGGCGAATGACTCCGCTTGGAGCCGGCAAATGTTGAAGCAGATAAACGTGCAAAAATATTCAGCACGCAATTTCGAGCATTTTGACATACATGTCAGTACATGGGACTGCATTTGGATAATTAAAAGTTCCGGATAATTCGAATTTAGGGCCTGGCAATTTCAGGTTCGAATTAGAGGGAGTCTACCTGCACATGTACGCTAAAATTGATGTTCCTAATCGATTTTCTTGAGACTATTATCAGCATCCAAGTATTCTCATTGATCATTTCGTAATGTTCGCTTCGCTTATACTGTTTATCTTATAACGAGTAGTATCTACTGCCCAGACGTGAATGTGCATGTCTCAGGTGTCAGTGGATTTTGACCATTGTCTGCCAGTGAGTTTGGTCTTGTAACCAATGTCGTACTAACAAGGGTAGAGCTGTAGCAACAAATGTTGCTACTCGCTCCATTGCTCACTCTTGCGGTCTTGTTCTTACACACTAGCACGCCGTAGATAGAATCCTGTAGAGTTTGTATATTTTTAGTACATTGCCAATGTTCTTCTCTATATCATAACATCCTATCTACTTGCTCTAGAAACGAAGTCTGGCGCCCGTGGAGAGCTTTCGCTACAGTCCATTCATAGGAAAGTGGTACCCTATTCTTTTGGTGGGACTCCAGTTACACCACATAATTCTGTCAAGTGAGAAACATTCGCTAGAGATAAAATTTCACTATTTTCGCGACCATCACACATTGGTGAATATAAATCGCCGTAAACTGCTCTGTACATTGATTGTAGACTGTAACAGATCCAAATGAAGAGATAAAATCGAAAAGGTTTCTCATCATGAACCAGCCCAATTCATGAAAACGGAAACTTTGCGCCCCGCGAAAGTTAATCGCTTTACAGTGCATGCACTTATAGCTATCATGAAAACAACAGTTCATCCTGCATTGCGTGGAACGTGCAATTATTCCTAACCGAATCTGATACCAGAAAAGTCAAAGGACACAGGGAATTAGAAAATCAGCCTGGTTTTACCAAAATTTGGACAGGTACTCCATAGCAAAATGTGTGGAGAAGCGGATTCAAAACTCGGATTTTGTGCCTCAATTCTGTCAAAATTGGGCTTTCAAGAGCCAACGAGACTGGCTCAGGTGAATGGACTGTTGCGTCGTTGATCCCGAGAGCAGATCTGATGTACATTTCACCTAATACTTGTCCAAGTGAATGTGTGGTACTCTTTAACCTAAGCATCAACCATCTTCAAGTTTACTCATGGCTTTACCAAAGATGTCATGGCTTAACCAACGATGTGCACATTCTACTGTTTGTGTGCTGTCGTTCTGCAGAAGAGTACGGAGGCAATCTTCTGATACTTGATCCAGTCAATTATCCGGCAATGAATTTTTCCAGGGCCGCTTCATTATGTTATCAGCTAGGGTTAGCGATACCAAGTAGAACCGAGGAAAAATATTGGATTGGCCAGGCAGCAAGAGATTTGATAATCAGTGACTTTGTGTGGTTCCGGATGTTTGCCGAGCCATTCGGGCTGGGAAAGGTATTCGTTGCCCAGTCTACTGCGTCCCACGAAGATTTGCATAATGTTGCCTGTGCAAGTAAGTATGGCGTGCTGTGCTCCAACGCTATGTGTTATATGCTACATGTGTGCCGGCAGGCGATGTAACCATGTTCGGATAGAGCTCAGGCGTATAGCTCCTGCAGAGCCAGCACAATCCGGTCAAAGCACCAGCAAATGGCCGTCATCCAGTGCTGCTCAATGAAATGCAGTCTGGTAACTCAAATTTGCGCCTTCTTTTGCAGCCCAGTGTTGTCAGGTGTAGGGCTGGGCAACGCGCCGGCGCGTACCTGAGTACCGCGGCTGGATTTCATTCAGCAGTGCCGTAGCACAGCAGTCAGACCTCGCTTATCCGGTCCTCTTTTATCCGCACCCCTCGCCATCCGGAAGAAAATCGTTGGTTACCGATTTACAGCATATACCATGCATGTATACATACAGCATGTGTGTTCGAATATCCGCTTCCGTCGCCTATCCAGATATTTTTTTGTGGAAACGGATACCGTATTTCCTCGATTATTAGACCCGGTCTTCTGTTTTTTTGAAGAGGGTTGGACCCCCGGTCTCTTATTTGGGCATGGTCCATTATTTGAGCACGGTCTACTATATTTTCATCGGCACATCGCTGGAAATGGTGGATTTTTAACACGTCATAAATTGACATAATATAGAAGTTCTATATTAAGACGGTATAAAAAGTCCACCATTTCCAGCAATGTGCCGATGAAAATATAGTGGACTGTGCTCAAATAATGAAAGAAAGCACTAGCCACTAAAAAATTGTAGTTACGCACCCTAAAACCGAGTCCTTTAACCGAGTCCTTTTTTGATCCACCACGTGCTTTCTTAGTGCGCATGCGCAAAGTGATGAACTCAAATAAGAGACCGGGTCTCTTATTCGGGTATGGTCTACTATTTTTCCGTGAGGCCTCTAGGAGGGTCTACTATTTGAGCATGGTCTATTATTTGAGCATGGTCCATTAATCGAGGAAATACGGTACATGTGCGTTTATGCGAGGTCTGACTATATTATAGTCAAAATAGGTGAAATGGCAGGTATGGGGTTGCCGATGGCACAAAGTTCTCAAACTGCAGATCTATGAGTAGGCAAACATTTGGTAGCCATGTGTTAGGAAAAGATGAAACCGCAGACTTCTATGGTAATGCATATACCATGTATGAGCGAGTACTCTGATATATTCCGAGCACGATTATATTTGAAAAATCCAGACGAGTATTCGAATATTCTGTATAATTGTTTCACCCCTACTAGAAACACTCCACAATTGCAAGTAGTTCCTGTCATCCTTTGGAACAAAGCGAGACTTGACAGGAGTAAAACAAGATTTATGGAGCCCGGTCGGTGAACTGTCTTTGTCTTCTGCAAGCGTCATTTGGTGGTTTTGGGTGAAATGAAAACGCTATTACTCCTACTGTATACTATAGTGTAAATATACACAGACCGTACAAAGATGTCAGCAACGATTTAACAAATACAATATCAACACCATTCTCACGTTGACAGTCATAGGAGAACAGACACTTAGCATCATAATTATGTGTGTTGGATTCTGTTCCGCTGGGATGCTATGACTTTCCCCTGGGCGTTCGTGAAAAACAGTGAGCAGCTGCAACTTACCCCCCCCCCCCCTCCTCCCATGAGTCTGTTTGCCACCCAGGTCTAGTGTGAAACACAGGTACACAGATGTGCTGCGTGCCGTGCGTTTCAAGTCAATAAATAATGACCTCCAAAGTACAAATACCACACAGAGAGTAGTAGGAATATGAACCTTGCCCTGCATGGTATCAAGAGTACATAACCCCCAAGAGTGTGCAACTCCCACTTACCCTGCTGTCCCGACAGAATTTCAAGTTAACGTCATTATTTACATGTATGACGCAATGCTCCTTGCATCAGTGATTTACAACAAGTGTACGGGTGTCAACGCATCACACGTTGTTCTTAGTAATAATTTGTACAGGATCGATCGGCTTCGGTCAACCATAGGTTCCGGATTCGTCTGATAATCCGTGTACAGTGCGCATTGCATCGGACAGCACCCATCTGTCGGGACAGCACCCATAGTCGAGTTGCACACTCTTGGGGGGTTATGTACTCTTGATGGTATCATCCGGGACATTTGCATTGAAACAAGCTAATCACAGCCATAAACGGTCCACTCTTGCCTGCACAGCTGTAGAACTGCACCAATACAGTTGTCCTTCTTTAATCCATCACTTTACAAACCAGCACCCTCTATGAACCAGCACATTTTTCAGTAGCCAAAAAATGGCAAAATAAATTCGCCCAAAATGGCTTCTTCATGCAAATTGCAGCAGTAAATCAGATTTGTTTATCCTGCACACTCGCTAATCCAGCACAATTTCTGAAGCACAAATGGTGCCGGATTATAAGGGACCAGTATCGTTCAAACACATAATAAAGTACGTCGCCGACAGTGTTCCGTCTGGCTAGAGTCTCCCACCTTGGTTTTACACTCAGGGGATGGAAAGCGGTATGGCTGAGCTCAACTAACTGTGTTTTGTGCAATGTGAGAACCCTTGTATTTTAAGGTCACACCGTGTGTGTGTGTGTGTGTGTGTGTGTGTGTGTGTGTGTGAGTTTGCGTGTGTGTGTGCGTGTGTGGGGGGGGGGGGTGTGCGCGCACGCGCGTGTATGTGTGTGTGTGTGGGGGGGGGGGGGGGTGGGGGGTGTGTGTGCGCGCGCGTGTGTGTGTATGTGTGTGCATGTGTGCGCGTGCGTGTGTTCGCAAGGTATGTGTTCTTTGACCAATAGACGGTATGCAATTGCACCATCAGTTAACATGCTGTGCTGTGGCAAAGTCACGGACTCGCTGCACATCACTGCACCCCCCCCCCCCTCTCCCCCCCCCCTTCCCCTGGCACTACCTATTCACATTGTATATTTTGCACCCAGTAGACATTCACTTGGCCCCCAATAAAAAATCCGCCGTGAAATCATCAGAATTTAACCGCTATAGGGAGGACACCACCTCCGGTAAACGGACACAAAACGACGACGTGGTGGGACGCTCTCGCGGCACTTCAAGGCGCGGGTCGAACTAAACTCTGCTGCCCTCTCTCTCTCTGCTCTCCTGTTGCAGGATATACTGGATGCGCATTTGGTTGTGGCCAGAATGAACACTGCTCCAAGGACGGGTCGTGTGAATGTACTTTGCCCTACTATAGAGCTGGCGACGGGTTGTGCCAACGTAAGGTTTAGTCCTTCCCTGCCTCGATGACATTTTGCCAGAGCATATTAAAATTTAATATCTTATCATCGCTTGTGTTATCATACTGGTGTTGTTACATGCTCTTGTTCTTTCCGACATACAGTAAAACCTGTAACTAAAGACCACCGTGACTAGCGACCAGCCTGGTACTACAGGCCACTTCGCCAGGCACGGACGGCCTCACATTCATAATTATACAGCAACATTATGGTTGCGTGGTGCAAACCTCTAACTAAGGACCACCTGCCACTAAAGACCGCTTTCTCTGGCCCCAAGGTTTTATTGTACATTGAAAAGCCGGAAAATTTTGGTGGAGATTTATTATCGGTATTAAACTTCGGTAAAGGTAATGTTTACCTAAAATACACCGCGACCTAAGAATTCAACAACGCCATACCACACAGTGTGCAAATACATTTTTGTACAGTAAAACCTGGTGTAAGCGGCCTCTGTGTTTAGCGACCACCTTCTGTTAACGACCGTTTCTCCATGCACCCACAGTTCTTCACTGACACTGTGGGACCTGGTTCTAAAGACCACCTGCCTTTAACAACCTCTTTTGCTTGCACCGTGGGGTGGTCGCTTAAACCAGGTTTTACTTTATCTGGAAAACTGATTTGCTGAAAATGTCACGCCACCCAACCGTTGATTTTGGGAAATGCCAATAATATTACACCACCGAAAACTTCGGGTTTCACAGTACCGTTATTTTCTCTGAATATTAGTCTACCTTTTCACACTAGCTGCCAAGTGCAAGGAACTTACAGTTGAGCATGACTTTCTACTTGTGTGCATATCATTGGAACATAATTAGCTCTAACAATATTGAGATGCCTTTTGTTGGTTCTTCTGCCTGGATTTCATTGACAGATGCGATCCTTCCATGAGTGACATGCGAACTGTAACCATTATTAATAATCTACATGGAACTCGGGTATAAAGCCAATAATAAAAGTAGAAAGGAAAAGGACATATGGAAACGAGTTAAGAGTAACTCTCCACCACCGTAACTAGATACTATAATATACAGTCAGAAAGTGCAACAATTAGGCACAAAACTGACAGAGTACTGAGACATTCGATGTTCTGACACTTAGCTTCAACACATCTCCGTAGCGCTAACCGACAGCCTTCCAACTTGGAAAGTTCTAGGTTATGGAAAGACCAAAGAGGGGAAGGCAAGCGCAACGAAAACGAGCACAAGCTACAGTCCCAACGGAACAAAGAATGTCCATTGTTACTGGACGGTGACGAGACGAGTAGGCGATTTGACAAAGCGGTCTAACTACAATTCGATGCAGCAAAGCAGCACATCACGCCACCTTGGGTGGGTTAATATCAAAGATAAGTAAAGAAGGGGAAAGCTTTGCGAGAACGAATTGTTCAAGACGAAAGCCAAACTCCTACAGTACTCTTGTTGTTGTTGTTGTTGTTTGGCTTTATCTCTTCATGCATGACATAGTGATTGACTAGTTGACTACAAAACAAATTGTTTCACACGACGCACGTTTCGCCGTATGGTTCATGACGGCTCATCAGGTGTGCAATTTGAAACTCGGGTATTGAGCCAATAATAAAAGTAGAAAGGAAAAGGACATAATTATGGAAACGAGTTAAGAGTAACTCTCCACCACCGTAACTAGATACTATAATGTACAGTCAGAAAGTACAACAACTAGGCATAAAACTGACCGAGTACTGGGACATTCGACGTCCTGACACCTAGCTTCAACACATCTCCGTAGCGCTAACCGACAGCCTTCGAACATGGAAGGTTCAAGGTTATGGAAAGACCAAACAGAGGAAGGCAAGCACAACGAAAACGAGCAATAAATAAATAAATCAGGAAAATACGACATGCGTATACCTGTACTACTTGTTTTATCCGGAAATATAAAAAATATGAAAAGGCGACGAGGTGACAAGAGGTTAGGGATTGCAGTAAGCAGATTACAGCTGAAGCGTCATTGCACGAAGAATTTTGTCAGTGGCCACTTTCTCTAGAATTTCTTCGTGCCACCTCAATGTAACGTTCGTGAAATGACGCTTCAGCTAGTTCTGTTTATTGCAATGTCTTACTCTACTCGCGTGATACCCCTGGGGTACTATTTTGTAATGTTCACCACAGATGGGGCACTATTTGAGAGAGTACGGTGTATTGTTGACATCATGTGTAGGATACAGTGCTGAGTGGGATAGAGAGAAAAACCTGGATAAGAATCGAGGCGCAGCCTATTAAAACCAGGCTGAGGCATTTACGGTAATGCATTAGATCAACTGTGCACTCCTTACAACAATAATAGCAATAATGGCGTTCAGAATGTTTTCTCATGACATCTTCAGTCGAAACTCGTTACTTAGTGTGCAGTGTCTAAAACAAACAATTAGCCCCTGAGACCTGCTGCATTCTTTGCTCTACTACACTCATCCAGTGCACAGTAGACCAGCAGTCTACAGTCACACATTATCATTCTGGTCTGCCACTGTAACAATAGGTCCTGATAGGACCCACACTTTCCACATGGGCACCTGTATTTTAAAAGCCCGATATATTCATCATAGCCTAGGAGCAGTGGCATCATTATTTTATATTCTACAGCAAGAAGGCAGCAATGCCTCTACCTATGCGAAGTAAAATAAAGGTAACATAACATATGCTGTGCTGTAGGCCCGCTGTAGAATTCTGCCTGATGATTGCGTAAGGCATGAAACTCCGAGCTGCAAATGAGATCTTGGTAGTTTTGTGTTGGAACTGATTTGGTAGTAATAGCTCTATCGATAGAGCATTTTTATGCAGTGGATCGCCACCTGCTTTTGTTAAAACAAGCAATTATGCAGTCAGAATAGTTGTACCCCAACACAGCTGGAAATATGGCAGCATGCAAGTGTGAATAGTGTCTTGACAACATTGGCGTGTGTTTCGGAAGTGACTGTGAGGAAGCTAGTGGCAAATGAATGGATAATGCGAAAGCGTGTAAGGGGACTGCGTGTGTGAAAATCATGATGCGTGCAGTGTATTATTTGAAGAATGTGAGTGCTACATTTTCTTTCATCTTCTTTCTGTTTGCATAAAAGATGGCCACGTGCATCCACGTAGACAGCTCCCAAACTTGCAAATGCTTTTTTAAGCAAAAAGGAATGTGCGCAACGGATAACACTAAACCAGGAATCATCAAATACCGTACGACACTCGGGAACATATACGATCACAGTACCATTGAGAACCATGGCACAATCTGGTGTCTCTGGTACCTTAGATTCATTCATTGCCACTAATGATTGGAATAGGAAAATCGATCAATGGAATACACACACCTTTTAACTCCAAACATAGACATGTTGCATGATCATGCACGCAGCCCATATACAGTCTGTTGCTGCAGACAAACGTCATCTCCATGTAGAAACACTTCAGCCTTAAAGACCCTTAACACTTTACCGACTGAGCTAAATGTCCGTGGAGAATTGTGCCCTCAAATTCTTTACCTTAAATCAGACGTGACTGTGGTTTTCCTTGGGACAGCTTTCCGAATGATCACCTTGGGCATCTTGGAAAGCCCCTGACGAGAGGAACATTATCAACTCAACCTCTCAGCTGAGATCATTTTAAAGAGAAATCCTTAGAAAGATTGGCAGCTGTGGCGCTTGTGTGCCCTGACCTGTGTGCCTTGCTTCTCCTGTTACGCTACAGGTTCATTCCACGATGCAGAGCACTGTGTGAACACCACGCTACGCATTCCACCGGGCTATTTCTTTGAGCCGGTGACGTTATCGGACGCCCAGAACATGTGCCGGGCGTCCGGAATGGAATTGCCCACGACAAGAATGCTATTTGGAAACCATGTTGTGGCTGTTTGCCTCTACCACATGGTGCAGAAATACAACTTTGCACTTTCCAGCGAGCCCTCCGCCACATCGACCGGTGTTTTCATACACACCACGCACGCCTTCTCCGTTGACATTTTTACTAGTTACTACTTGTCCGGCCAATGGAACTTGCTTAACACACGATCTTCACACCACCGTGTTATCTGCGCAGGTGAGATTAAGCCTTGCATATCTTTTTACCACTTCTGATGCTATGTCAATAAAGCTGGCAGAGGAATATTACCAGTAACAATACTTGACATACCCGTAACCCCTTCGTTGTTTCAAATTGTTGGTGTGCGCAACGGCTACTGTGGGTAGCCACGTGTCAACTCAGAGCGCATGGGAGAGAAGAGGAGCAGAGATTGCTGAACTACTGATGGATACCGTGTCACATGTGCTTTTGAAGCGCTCGCAACCTCAACTTCAGCATCACCCTTCTTCTGTCTTCCTGTCATTTATTTCCTTTCCTCCTTTTCTTTCATTCCATATTCGCCATATGTGTCCGGGTCCCGTTTAATGTGCGAAGTAAAATGAAGTCGAACACTCGTTGTATTATTATGTATGCTATCCTATATGCACCCACCCGCGTGCATCTGTCTTATTGTACGCAGCTTACATCAGCTTACGTCATGCACTGGTATTTGGCATGCACGCATGACTACACATTGAGCATGCTGATTCCGTTGTGCTGTTCTTTGTTTTGTTGTTCTTTTCCACTCGCTCCTCGGTGGAGACTACTAGTATTTTGTAAGAATAAACCAATATGTTTATCACAAACACAAACAAACAAACCCTTGGGCTCCAAAAGAGACCTCCACTCGACAAACAGCCTCTCCGGTGCACTGCACAAGTAAACACGCGCCCAGTATACTGCAGCACAGCTCTCTGCTCTCTACACAGTGCTTTTGTGGAGCTTAATGCTGTTGGTAGATCACTAACTCTCTATTGGTCTGAAGGCCCCGGATCCAAATGTACAGAGATGATCCACAAGCAACACTGACCTAGAAGAGAATTGCGCACTTGGGCCTGCAGGCACCTCCGGGCAAAGCTTCACATTCAATATCCGACCAGAACATTTTCAAACCTGCTACCCAAATTCGTATTTGGATTCCAACCGCACAGAATTATAATGAATCCTTTTTTGGCCGTCATCCAAAAAGTGATGAAAATTATTTAGCAGGTTTTGCATTCCGGCTCTTCACCCGTAGACTGTGCAGAGTGTGGGTGCTATGTGCTGTGTGTAGAGTGCTGTGTGCAGTGTGCAGTGTGTAGAGTGTGCAGTGTGCCGCGTGCAGTGTGCTGGTTGCAGTGTGCTGTGTGCAGTGTGCTGTGTGCAGTGTGCGGTGTGCAGAGTGGCAAATCATGAGCATCCACTGGGGCGTTTGTACTGAACCGGCATACTCGCTTGATCTGATCTGTGTGCGCTGTTGTTCCCGTTTTCTTTTTTCTTCCTTTGCAGAGTATACGTATTGTGACCCGCCGGCTCCAGAGTCAAACAAGCGAAATTTCGCGTACGTCAATGGTAGTTACTCTCGCGGCACAGCAGAATGCATCAGTGGTTACAGTTTACAAGGCGACTTGCCAATGAAGTGTCAGGGTGGCAACCGATGGAGTACAGCGTGTGAAGGTAAGACAGTGCAGAATGAACGATGGGCTAAACTTGGTCTTTTCACATGTGGACATTAAAGCTGTGTTGACCGAGGCTAGTGCTATTGCGTCCCTGAAGGTAACGTCTTTTGCATACGGCTGCGGGAATAAAATCATTTGTGACTCTACTCAATCTGTCAGTGATGGGGAATTCAGCTGTTTTGGGGAATTAAGCGAAGGTGAGTCTTGGCAATTCTGAGTTTGACTCAAGCCGTGTCCGTTCTATTTTATACGGACGCAGAACAGGTCAAGAACAGTAAATACTGTTTGTATCAACTGCGAATCACTGGACGAAGGTAGTTCAGCCTATGTACAGCGTCTTCACAAGAGAAACTGCTGGCGGAATGAGCAGAGAGTTCAGTTTGCGTCGCTTTCGCTCGACTTACTTTTGACCCTGCGTCGCTGTCGTCATCTGCTGCACGCGAGTCGTCATCTCTCTCGAGTCGTTTTTCTGCTTGTTTCGGCCTTGCCTCGGCTTCTTTGATCACACTCCGCTGAACTTGATGTCGCCGTCGTTCAAGTAAGTTGTTTTTTCAAGTTGCGTGATCAGCCGCGGTGGCGACTACTGGTGAACACCAGGGAGACGTAACAATATTGTACGACTCCCTAGTTTCATCTTCGCTCTCCAGAGCTCCGCGAAACCAGGAGTACAGGCACAGCCAAACTGTCTGAGATGGGTCAAGCTCCCCGCCCGTCGAGGCGGAGGCGCGCATGCGTACATCTACACTGGACGCAGGCAAAGGCGTTCCAGTATCGGACTGCACAGCACATTTTGGAGGACGGCCACGACGAGGACGAGTACCACGAGCGTCAACAGGGACAAGAGCTAACGGCACATGTTTTATTGCATATGTTATCGCCTATGTTGAAGTGTTGACTTTTTCTCTACTTTCTATATAGTTATGTGTTTTTTCCAAATTTCCAACATTCCCTGTACTATCCTGAAGAGAAGGGAAAGAAAACGTTTGATAGAAAAGAAGTGTCTACTGAATTGTGTGGATTTGCGTCGTTGCATGCGAATACTTATTACGAAATAATAATAATAATAATATATTCCCGTAGCTATGCAGAAGACGTTACTTCAGTAACGTCTGGCACTAGCCAGGGTCCACACAGCTTTAATTTGGTGTTTGTTTCTTTGTTTGTTTGTGTCACGCCTGGAGCTATCCCGTATCTATCCCCTATCTGTCCGTATCTGTGACTACAAAGGCTCTACAGGATTGTACATAATAGCTGGCCACAATATTTTGCTGGCTCCGGTATCTGTCCCGTACCATCCCGTACAAACAGCTGGCCACAATATTCGTCGTATTATGTATACGACTCCCTGATGTAGAGGGAGATTTGGAAAGAAATAGGGAGACGAGGAGGAAATGAATTTAGAATGGGCGTCAGTTGCCGAATAGATGATAGGATGCGTCAGCAAAAACATACTTTGGAAGAGAGATCCCGTCGTCTCCAAAATAAGCTTGAACGAGCGATTCAGCGCCGGTCACAGGACATGTCGGAAGAGAAATCCCATCGACTCAAGAACGCCCGTGATCGTCAGAGTCCGCGCCGGTCCCAGGAAACGTCAGGACAGACACCCCGTCGAGTCCAGAACGCCCGTGATCGGCAGAGTCAGCGTCCGTCTCAGGAAACGTCAAGACAGATATCCCGCCTAGTACAGAACGCCCGTGATCGGCAGAGTCAACGCCGGTCCAAGGAAACGTGAGGACAGACATCCCGTCGACGCGCAGAAAAACTAAATATGCAGCATCTTTGCAGGGCGATGCGACACAGCCAGCGCATGTAGCCCTGTCAGGGCCCAAAAGGTCGAGAAATGTAGAAAACTGTTTCTCCCCTGCCCCCCCCCCCCTCACACACATACATACTGTACACGCACATACATACTGTGCACACACATACATACACACACATACATTTAATTGAGCAACACTGTACCAGGCCACCAAGCCGCTGCATTTAACACTACAATAATACTAGCAAGAGTATATAACCCCCCAAGAGTGTGCAACACATGATACCCTTTCTATGGGGTTCGCCGACTCCAAAAACTCACATGACGTGGTGTAGTGTCGCAGTTGTACGTTTCCAGCCCGTTTAAGCGAGCAGCGGAGTAATAAAAAAAAGCACTCTCTGACAGAACCTCACTGCGCGTATGCAAATCCCCAGCATGATCCTGGTAGATATTCGGATTGCGCGCACGCCATCCTTCCTTTGTACGTAGAACGAACACGTCATGTGAGTTTTCGCCGTCGAAGACCCCATATGCAGAGTTGCACACTCTTGGGGGTTATATACTCTTGATAATAGGATGCAGCAGCTTCAACTTTGTTCCAACTCGATTGTGTGGCACTTCAACTTTGCGATGCCTCGACTGTGTCGTGCTTCAAGCTATGTCCGATGATTTTCATGCTTTATTCTTCTCCCGTTCAGAGAACTCGTGCCCCCCTCCGGCCCCGATTCCCAATGCCGTTACCACCGGCAACAGCACTGTGGAGAAGAATGTTTCCTGCCTACCTGGCTACACCCTGGCCCCTGGTTCACCACCAGTGATTTACTGCCAACCTAACCAGAAATGGACATTTTCTGTCTGCGAGCGTAAGTCCCACCGTTTGAACCAGGGTACAGTATTGCACACCTGGTTAAAAAAAGAGCCCGCTATGAAGAGTGTGTTGTGGGTTTTGTTATGATGGACTGATAAGGTACAATAAGTACATGTATGTGAAGTAGAATTCAGAAACGTTTTTCTTCGATGATCATCAGTGAACCTACATATTTTATTCCCGTAGCTATGCAGAAGACGCTTCGTCAGTAACGTCTGGCGCTAGCCAGGATCCACACAGCTTTAATTTGGTGTTTGTTTGTTTGTTTGTTTGTGTCACGCCTGGAGCTATCCCGTATCTGTCCCGTATCTGTGACTACAAAGGCTCTACAGGATTGTACATAACAGCTGGCCACAATATTTTGCTGGCTCTGGTATCTGTCCCGTACCGTCCCGTACAAACAGCTGGCCACAATATTCGTCGTATTGTGTCTAACGATTCCCTGATGTTGTTGTATACTTTATTTATAGTGGAAATCAAAACAGGCAAAACGCCTAATAACATTGGACCCACTGTGAATAACATGTTAAAGGATATTGTGGAAAAAAAAAAAAAAAAAAAAGTAGATACAAGAGAAAAAGAGAAAGGAAAAATGACGGAAGGTTGGTTGCAACGAACAGATATCAATCCAGTAAGCATTGGAAAACCTATGTCGCTGATAATATATACTGCAAGGCTTGAGATTTAAAATCCAAATACCTATTTGAACATTTTGCTGCTGGTGGCAATCTATTCCACATAATGGCTCCAGCGTGCGTTAGGCGCTTAGCAGAACGAGCAGTGCTAGCAGGTGGGACCACAAGCAAGTTGCTTTGGCCTCCCCGAGTGCGAGTTGAGGGCACGACAGCAAAAAAGGACTCAAACAGGGTGCTACATGCATCATGCAAACATCGCCAGATGAAACAAAACATATTCAAGTGCACAGAAACCTGTAGATCACATACATGCATTCGATTTAGCAGGGGAGCAGTACTGGTCCACGGTGGCGACTTGCAGACTGCCCGAGCGGCACGTTTGAACAGCCTATGTAGCCGTTGTTCCTGGGCAACTGTCAAATACGGGTAGTAACTAATAGAAGCATACAAAAATTCAGGCAAAACGATAGATCTGAAGTAGGTGAGTCGGCATGGATACGGCAGCGAGGAAGCATGTCGCAGCAGGACAGCAATTTTGCCGGCAACACGACGAGCAACATGGCCCACCATTGTGGTCCAACTCATGTCCGAGTCAAAATGCAGGCCAAGGTATTTGGCAGATGTGACTACTGGTAGGACTTGTGAATTGCATACAACATTGATGTCGAGGGCTGCAGCTCTATGGTGTGGTATGGCGAGTATCTGCGTCTTGGTCTCGTTAAGGATCAGTCCACGTTTCTTCAACCAAGTGGCCAGGTACTGAACTGCTGCAGTGAGGCGCTGGGAGACAACTTCTGGCTGTGGACTGCTCGCACGCAGCGAGATGTCATCAGCAAACTGAATAGTGGTGACGTCATGAGGGGCAAGGTCGCCGGCAATATCCCTCACATACAGAACGAAGAGCAAAGGTCCGAGAACTGACCCTTGAGGAACCCCTGACTGGCTGTCATAAGTTGTACTTCTGGTTTTTCCTGTCTCCACGTATTGCCGGCGATACATCAAGTAGTCTGAAAACCATTGCAAAGCAGTGCTAGTGAGACCCAGTTCAAAGAGGTCCTCAACCAGAATGCTATGCTTTACCTTGTCGAAGGCTTTAGACATGTCGACAAATGCTACTCCTGTGTGCTGCCCAGCGGCTTGTGCTTCATTGATGTTCTCTACAGCTAGCGCTAAGGCATCTGCTGTGGAATGCTGGTGTCTGTAACCAAACTGACTAGTAGGCAAGAAATTGTTCGTGTTGAGGTACTGCAGAAGCTGCTTATGAACAATACGCTCAAGCACTTTCGACACTATCGGCAATAGGGAGACTGGTCGGTAATTCTTGGGTTGGCTGGGGTCTCCAGCCTTGAACAGAGGCCGTATCTTACCCACCTTCATTGCCGCAGGAAACTGTCCTTCTCTCAATGACTTATTAAATAGTAGCGTGAGTGACGGTGCCAGGATGTCAGCATGCATCTGGAGGAGACTTGCTGGAATATCATCACTCCCAGTGGCTTTTCTGGTGTCCAACTGTTCCAACATTTTCCGAGTAGTTGCAATGGAGACTGGCAAGAATTCCGAGAAGTGCACCGCAGGTGGAGGCCCAAGGGGTAGGCGTAGCTGTGCAGGGCGAGCTGGATCTTCCACAACTTTCGAAAAAGTGTCTCGAATCGCATCCACCGTGCACTGTGGATCCCTGTACGTCGACTGTTTGCCTGTCAACTCCTTGATTATTTTCCAAGTCTCTCTGGCATTTCCAGTACATTGCTGAAATTTGGAGTTGTAGAATTCCTGTTTCCGGGTCCTGTTGTAGCTAGTTGCCGCACGTCTGGCTGTACTAAATTCATCATAAGTCTCCTGTGTCTTAGCAGAGAGCCACTTTCGGTGCAACCTATTCCGCTTGTGTAGTAAGTACAACAATTGCCGGTCAATCCATGGCACTGAAGGCTTCTTCGTTCTGTGATTACTTTGAAGTGGGGCATGGACATCCAAAACCTCAATAAACCGGCTAGACCACTCGGTCCACATGGCGCTTGGGTTGCCGGTAATACTACACAAGTTCTTCTGGGTTAAGTCACGCCGGAAGTGATCGTGGTTTATCCGGTGATAGTTGCGGTATAAACGTGTGGTGTCAGATCCACGAGGCACAATGAGGTGAAAGTCACTGGCCACGGCAGCATGGTCACTGAAAGCGACCGGGATGATCTTCGCTGTAGTGGAAGGATCAAAATTGTTCAGTATCAAATCGAGGGTGCTGTCTTGTCCTGTTGAGCTAAATCGCGTAGACTTGTTGACACCGTGATGCAGAGCATAGCTGTTCAGCAAGTCAGATAAGTAGTGATACTGAGGGTCCCTGGCACTTAGGTCAATATTCACATTAAAGTCACCACAAACGATAGCATTTGGCTGTGGCCTTAGAGCAGCGCAAAGATGTTCGTCTAGCTTGTCCCAGTAACCCACAGGTTCAGATGGAGGGCGGTAGATCGTTCCAACAAGACAACTGCGGGGTTTGCAAGCGACTTCACACCAGCAACTTTCCACACCATCAGTTGTTATGTCGTCTCTTGGTTTTACCGGAAGACATGACTTCCAGTATATGCAAACTCCTCCTCCTACTCGACCACTACGGTCTCTGCGTGTTACACTATATCCAGTCAGGGCTATTTCTTGGTCCGAAACAGTGGCGTCGAGCCAGGTTTCGTTGACACAGACTATATCCGGGGCGTTGAGTTGTTGTGTGAGCAGTAGGATGTCATTGAGTTTGTTACGCAGGCTCCTGATGTTGAGAAATAGAACGCGAAGTGCACTTGGGTGGGTAGGAGAAGGTAGTGGAACTGACGGACTAAATGAGTCAGCAAGGGGGTTAAGTGAAGACATGGCTGTTCTTGTAAAAGTGGGTTGGAGTCTGGCAGTTGGGTTTGACTCTGTCATAGATTATGTAAAAGAAGATCAAATCAGTACTCAAAGGTTATCCCACCGATTGTAACATTCGCCAGGCTGCTGTCTGCATCCTCTTGTGAATCTGCATTTCCAACTGGCAGTTCATTACTTTCAGAAAATCCTTCAGTGCTGTGCAGTGCAGTCCTGGACTTTGCTGGGAAGGTGTGTTTCCCAGAAGCCAGGGTGAAGCCCTCAGCGTCAGGTGACTGGTGAGCTGTCTTTCCTCTGCAGAATTTGTTCATATCCTGCATTGGGGTTCTGCTCGGACTGGTGGTCTCATTGCGAGCCTGCTGCAACAGTTCCGATATTTAGAAAAGCGATCCTGTCAGCTTTTCTATTATTGTGTTCACATGGCAAGAAAAACGACACCGCTATGCTACGTAAGTTTCTACGTAAGGTGCTCGGTATTTCACTTAGGCTACGTAAGTCTCTACGTAAGGTGCTCGGTATAGATCTACCAACGGTTGGTAGCCGCGTGCTGTGCACGTGCACGGCAGACATTGTGTTGCATGCAGTGCATGCAGTCCGTGTTCGGATGTGCATGCGCGAGAAACTTCCTCCTTTGGAACTGCTTCTTGTATGAGCTGTTTCGGATATTTCGTCTCCTAGATCCTGGCCTGGCTTATTTCGTTTCGGCGCTGCTGAGACCTCCTTTCGCGGAATATTACTCAATATCGACAGGTGAGTTGACCAGTTACCTTTGATTCTTTTGCTTGTGTTGACTCTTTCATTTACTAAAAGTGTGCTCATTTTGGGCGGAATGCAATAAATAATGGAAAAGCTGGCAGGATCTCTTTTCTAAATTTAGCTTTTCCGCTGCCGAGGCCCCCTTTTACGGAATACTCGATGACAGGTGATCTCTGAGTTGACCGGTTTCCTTCGATTCATTTGTTATGCTCACCCTTTCATTTACGGAAACGTGTGCTGATTTTATTCGGATTTAGATCCATTTTTATCTCTTTGCCCTTGTCTACAGTGTGCGAAGAACGCGAGTTCACCTTCTTGACGGTAAGGCTTATGTTAGATGTGTTGTCGAAATACTCATATTCATTGTACATTGGTACGTTACAAGTAAGGCACTGGTCAGTGGCATACTATCGTTGGCAGTTCCCAATCTGGAGGGAAAGGTTCAAGGACCCATTGACCGAGTTTGCAAAATAAATTCGCATATCAGGGAAAATCTCCATTGTGGAGAGGTTCAGTAAACTTGTATGATTAGATTTGTTTACTCGAGTCTGGGCTGTTTGATTTATTATTTGTGAGTTCCGCCGAGATTGCACTGCCCTAAATGATGTTTCGTGCCGCCAAGGCAAGAATTACGATCTGCAATCTGCAGTACCTGCAAGAATGTGCTGTACATGTATCGTACTTTCTCTGTTGCTGTTTCAGTTGCCGTCATGTTGCTAAAGAAACGTTCAGTAGAGAGGTTCTGCAAAACGAAAATTCGAACGAAGTTTCGCGACAGTCATTGCGAAAGTGTGTACGAATTTTTGCACAAACTTTGCGTTCTGCACGTTTTCGTAGTTTGCGCGGGCCAAGTGCACGTACGCCATGACCCGATCTCACGAAAGTGTGTACGACTGTTCATTTCGCGTTCCCTGCAAGTTTCGCGTCCAAAGTTGCGAAAGTTCGTGCGAAGTTTCGCACTTCAGGACGTGGAACGACTGTTTGTACTCATTTTCGTTTTGCAGAACCTCTCTAGTGACTCATTTGTTTCATACGAGACGAGTCAATAGACACCCTTAGCAAAAAACGTTATGTTGTAACGGTATTATCGTAAGGGGGAGAATACCGTGATTTGGGTTCGACCTTTAGCAAGATGCACGCTATTTTTAGTACGCTGTTGCCACGAGAATAGAGAGGTTAAGTTTCACGTAAAAGTCTTACGTCCGTGAACTTTTACGTCAAAAAGTGAAAAAAACTCACGTAAAATTTGACGTGTTTTACGTGAGTTGACTGTCCCGCACGTAAGTTCATGACGTGAGTTTTTGGAAGTTTCGCTTGGTTATCCCGAACGAATTTGTGTGAGTTTCCGGAATTTTATCGAAATTTATCGAGTTTGTTGGAAGATTTGATATTTGTGGGAACTAAACCCGAATCCTGCCAGGCAAAATTTCACGTCACGTCGCACGTGTAACTTAACCTCTAAAAATTACACGTAACGTGAGATTTGCACCGCGTTTTGAAAAAGGGCAAAAAACGTGTAACTTAACCTCTCTAATAGCTTTGATTTCGCGCGGTACAACCATTTTTGTCACCATATACGCGATACAAGGTGAAATGCGTACGGACTATGCAATATTTGGCCAAAACACGTACCGTTGGTCACAACGATAAATCAGCCTCCATAACGTTTATACGCTGCAGCTTCAACGCTATTTGGGTGATCAAGGTACGAGTACCGTAAAAAATAGCGTTACCGTTGTTTGCTAAGGGTGTCTAGTGAGTTGGTGTGGCTTAGAATCTTTCGCTGTAGAAGAAATCTATTCGTATGTCTATTGGAGAAATAATTGTGTTCACTGGTTATAAAATAGGTTAAGACAAACTCACAGAATAAATACCATCGGTCCCTTGGTGTTCGTCCTAAAGAGGTTCGACTGGATATCATTCATACTCACCAAAAATGTGTACGATTCTATTATTATGGAGTGCCTTGTTTATCTCTCAGTACCTCCAACCATAGCCTTGCCCCTTTTATCCTCAGGATCAGTGTAGTTGTTGGAACGAGGTGTCGGACTCAGCAATGTATTTGTTTACATTTTAATACATGTTTATTGTTCCTCCTTTGCTGTGTTGTTTTAGAAAATCGTGGACTAACAGTTCGAAGTCATTGAACTACTTCCAAAAGTTGTATCGACATCAACAGGGTTACGATTTCAGTGCAATATGGTGCAGGATGACCTTATCACGATAACCCATGATTATAAACCATTATAAACACAGAATCAACAAAAACATCTGCGACACGCACCTGGTTACATTTCTCAAATAAATCTGATCGAGGGTGGGGAAATCTGAAATATCTGAAAGGCAAGACAATTTTATGACAGAGTCGTGAAATTCTGCTACAGCAACATGCACAGAATGACCTCCGTATAAAAAAGGTATCACCACGGTCCACCACTACTCACATGTATCCCCGCAGAAGAACATGCTAGTCCCATTTTCTGCAAGAAAAGGCTTGCACATCAATGCGTATAATACGGTATTGATATGATGTGAAGGCCATCATTTACATATTGATAGGGCATTTCATTGATTGGTGACAGAAAAAACAGAAGAAATTATAGCAATAAAAACTGCTTTATGGCAGTTTTCTAAAAAAAGTTATTGTGTTCTAGTCCATGGACCCCGTCTAAAAAGTAAGAAATTAACGAAATGTGATAGCTGAAAATTAAAATTTCACACAAAACCTCACAATAATCACACACAGAATGAAAAGCAACATGTACTCGTAGAAGACCTTTTCTCCTCGTGATCCTCTTTCCTATGCATGCATGTTGCCAATTGTTGGTGGAGTACAAGTTTAGTGTTGAAAGCAGCATTTCAAGTGTTGTGATTATTGTGAGGTTTTGTGTGAAATTTTAATTTTCAGCTATCACATTTCGTTAATTTCTTACTTTTTAGACGGGGTCCATGGACTAGAACACAATAACTTTTTTTAGAAAACTGCCATAAAGCAGTTTTTATTGCTATAATATTCCTAGTGCTCTGCTTGTCCTTTGGATCCGCGTGGGGTTGTGCTGGGTCCGTACAAGGTTCACGAGGTCGAGATGAGATCTCTGACTCTGCATCCGTAGATGAACTCGAGGCGCCAAGTACTGGAGGTGGTGGCTGGGGTTCAGAGCTGTGGTGCACAGAGTTGTTGGCTTGACCTGCGCTTGACCCTACCATACTGGAGTACAGCGTACCAGATGCAGAGTTCTTGCCCCATTGCATCTGCTGAGTGCAATTTCTGGACACGTGGCCGCTTGACCCACACTTATAGCATGTTGGGGTCTGACCCTTGTGCCATACACGGATTCTCTGGTGTGTGCCAGGCAAGACAATCACAGAGGGGACAGCTACGGTCGGTACTATACTGACGTACACCGTTCCAGTGGTGAAGGTACAGGCTTCAATGGTTTTCACCTCCCGCTTTGGTTTGCCGATCACAGTGCCGAATTTCTCGATTGCAGAGACAATGGAGGGGAGGGAAACGTCTTCAGCCACGCCAAAAGCATGGACTGACACTACAGCACCATCTCCAACCACCAAGGTCAAAGGCGTTCCGTTAGCCTGCAGGCCTTTCGTCACAACATCGTCCCTTACTTCAGTGCTACAAAATGTAATTCTGCAGAATCCACGTCGGCCATTTAGATCTACTTGCTTCACATCTCCTGGTTTTACTCCAGCAGACAGCAACAGCTTTACGTAGAACGCATGATCGTTCCTTGGATGGTCCTCCCCTAACTGTATCGAACACACTCTCGACATTTTAGAAACAAACCCAAAAATCCCACGGATTCTCGGAGGTCAAAAACTTGCTGCCTACTCTACCAGGTCAAATTTCAAAGATGTAGAGGAAGATTTGGAAAGAAATAGGGAGACGAGGAGGAATAGAATTTAGAATGGGCGTTAGTTGCCGAATAGATGATAGAGGATGCGTCAGCAAAAGCATACTTTGGAAGAGAGATCCCGTCGTCTCCAAAATAAGAGTGAACGAGCAATTCAGCGCCGGTCACAGGAAACGTCGGAAGAGAAATCCCGTCGACTCCAGAACGCCCGTGATCGCCAGAGTCCGCGCCGGTCCCAGGAAACGTCAGGACAGACATCCCGTCGAGTCCAGAACGCCCTTGATCAGGAGAGTCAGCGCCATTCTCAGGAAACGTCAAGACAGACATCCCGCCGAGTACAGAACGCCCGTGAAGGGCAGAGTCAGCGCCGGTCCCAGGAAACGTAAGGACAGACATCCCGTCGACGCGCAGAAAAACTAAATAATGCAGCCTCTCTGGAGGGCGATGCGACACAGCTAGCGCATGTAGCCCTGTCCGGGCCCAAAAGGTCGAGAAATATAGAAAACTGTTTCTCGCCTGCCCCCCCCCCCCCCCCACACACACATACATACTGTACACACACACATACATACACACACATACATTTAATTGAGCAACACTGTACCAGGCCACCAAGCCGCTGCATTTACCACAACAATAATAGCAAGAGTACATAACCCCCCAAGAGTGTGCAACACATGATACACTTTCTATGGGGTTTAGCCGACGACAAAACTCACATCACGAGGTGTAGTGTCGCAGTTGTACGTTTCCAGCCCGTTTTAGCGAGCAACGGAGTAATAAAAAAAGCACTCTCTGACAGAAACTCACTGCGCGTATGCAAATCCCCAGCATGATCCTGGTAGATATTCGGATTGCGCGCACGATATCCTTCCTTTGTACGTAGCACGAAACACGTCATGTGAGTTTTGGCCGTCGAAGACCCCATATGCAGAGCTGCACACTCTTGGGGGTTATATATGTTGGACTCAGTAGAGCGTCCAGCCCCTCTATGATGTCCAACCCCTATATAGAGTCCATTGGTCCAAAATCCACTGTACAGAGTCCAAACTTGGAATCAACTGTGAGCTCAAAGTTTAGATGAACATCACTCCCTGTATAGAGTCCAGCCAATTGGCTTCACCCCTTTATAATGTCCATTGGTCCAAAATCAACTGTACGGAGTCCAAACTTTGAAATCAACTATAAAGAGTCTTTATGTGGACAACACTTCCTGTATAAAGTCCAGCGAATTAGACATTCCCTATCCAGAGTTAGAAATTAGACATAGGATCTGCTGTAAGCAGTGAATATTAACCAGAAAACGGCCTCTCCCTTTAATCCTTTACATCATTCACTTCTCAAGATAAAAAATAAGTATTGAGGCGCCACTGCAGCCACTTCATTACATGAAAAACCCTACAAACACAATCCTCAAATCAAGTGGTCTCTTCGCAGACGCTGCAAATTACAATATCTCAATCATGTAGTGTTGCCAAATTATTGTTCACGCACACACACACATGCACACACTCACACAACGCCAAGAAAATACCTAGAAAAAACCAAGAATCGAAAGATAATAATGGAGAGCCAAGGATTAATTAGTTGTTTTCAAATTATTGTGCGGGAGCGCGCGCACACACACACACACACACACACACACACACACACACACACAAACTTTTACAACGCCAAGAAAACACCAAGAAAAGAGTAGAGACACAATACACACGCAACTCCAACAGCCATGCAAACATCCACCCAGTTACACGTAAAGTCAAGAGAGATAACAAATGATTATACGAAACGAATGCATACGTGTACGTGGGCGGATGCACGCACGTTTACATACATGTACATGTAGTAGTGTAAGAGAGTAACATAGTGCAGTAGTCAGCATAAGACTAGCACGTGCTGAGACTGAAATAGCAAGCTTCACCATTGCTCATGGCCATGCAGATGTTCAGCAGATGTTCAGCAGCACTCAGTTCCGCAAGCTTCTGAAGATCAGCACACCTGCAACAAATAGATAGCACAAGGATACGCTTATTACCGTAATGATGCATGGGAGCACACAACTACCAAGTCCTCAACGAATGTGATGCTCAATGAAAATCCATCCACTCAAAGACATGTGAACAGGTGACGGTGGGGACAATAATCTATTTGTAATACGAGGAAAAAGATCGTTTGTGCACACTCAAGACGCACAGACACACCACCATACATGTAGTGTACACAGTGTTTCACTTCACTGCAACTAAATTGAAATGAGATGATTTGAACAATCTGTACAGCGTTGCCGTCAGTCAGTCTTCCCTGAGATGGAAATGCAATGATTTGTTGTCACGAGGCAGTTTCACTGACACAGTGTCATGTTTGTCACATCAAAACGGTTACTTCATGGAATACGAGTACATGTATTAGCTCGAGAAGCTTTTTCTTGTCATCGGCATACAAGAAATCCTCCTCCTACTACTACTAGTACACTGGCACTGCGTTTGTAGATCCCATTGTATTTGACATCATACTAGAGCCTAGTAGAGGAAGAGCGTCGTGGAGTTCACATAATTATCATAGGGATAAAAATACATTTCTCATGAAATATAATAATAATTGATGATAGCTAGACGATCGTATACGATTGATGCAAAGTCCTTGCAATCCTTGAGGACTATTACGACGTGGTTGGTTACTTTAAGGGCATTCATTCAAGCAACATCAAACAAACGCGATACGCTCCTTGAAAAATGGAAAAAAATTCAAGCATATAACGACAGAACAGCAGACCAATCGAAACGAGTAAAAGTTTCCTTACCTCAGTCATCGTCCTGCCATGTAGTTGGACAGCCTTTTGACACGGTGGAACGGGCAGCTCTTGTCCAGACAAACAGGATATCCTTGTGGCGTCGAACGAAAGAGAGTGTCAGTGTATCTGACTCGTCAGATTGGTACTGTGCTGAACTTTTCTCGTTCTCCACTTTCTGCTTTCATCCCTCGCTCTGATGAAACCGTTCAAACGTCTTACTGGCAGCAATGGCCAGCCAAACAGGGGATCCTTGTGGCGTCGAACGAAAGAGAGTGTCGGTGTACCTGACTCGTCAGATTTGAACTGTGCTGAACTTTTCTCGTTCTGCAATTTCTGCTTTCATCCCGCGCACTGATGAAACGTCTTCCGAGAACCACAAGACGCTTTCCAGATTTGATTTTGAACGTCTCCTTATCCTCCTTGGTTACCTCGAGACAGATTACTGTCAGCAACTGCACAGCAGACCTGGCAGACATAGCTGAAGTGAAGAAAGGAATGCGCTGCCACGAGGCAAGCAAAACTGAAAAGGTGTTTGTTCTCTTTTGGGCACAACTCACAGGACGGCGTGACTGGATAAACTGGACTCCTGGACCGTGAATAGTGGACTTGTAGAAAAAGTGTACTCCTTATAGGGGATTGCGCGGCAGGATGAAGCTGATCAAAACTGAGTGGACTCCTGGACTCTGTATAGTGGATTTTGGACCAATGGACTATATATAGGGTGCTGGACATCATATAGTGCATGGACTCTATACTGAGTCCTACATATATTATGCTCTTGATAATAGGATGCAGCAGCTTCAACTTTGTGGCAACTCAATTGTGTGGCACTTCAACTTTGCGATGCCTCGACTGTGTCGTGCTTCAAGCTATGTCCGATGATTTTCATGCTTTATTCTTCTCCCGTTCAGAGAACTCGTGCCCCCCTCCGGCCCCGCTTCCCAATGCCGTTACCACCGGCAACAGCACTGTGGAGAAGAATGTTTCCTGCTTGCCTGGCTACACCCTGGCCCCTGGTTCACCACCAGTGATTTACTGCCAAACTAACCAGAAATGGACATTCTCTGCCTGCGAGGGTAAGTCCCACCGTTTGAACCAGAGTACAGTATTGCACAACTGGTTAAAAAAAAGAGCCCCGGCTATGAAGAGTGTGTTGTGGGTTTTGTTATGATAGACTGATAAGGTACAATAAGTACATGTATGTGAAGTAGAATTCAGAAACGTTTTTCTTCGATGATTTGCCCTTCTCCGTGCCGGCGTGGCTTGCCTGCGTGGTGCACAACGGCTGTATTCGCACCGGGAGGTGGCTGAGTCATCCGCTCGACTCGCTGTCTCTGAAGCTGCCATGCAGCACTAGACACTTGTTTATGCCTCGTCATCATTGCTTTTTCTCGTATGGTCCATGTATGTAACTACTGGTACTTGTTTTTATTGTATCATTGTGTTACTTAATTCTGCCCGTACAAGAGGCCGGTTTACCAAGTTAAAAAAATTTTCTTCGATGATCATCAGTGAACCTACATATTTTATTCCCCTAGCTATGCAGAAAACGTTACTTCAGTAACGTCTGGCGCTAGCCAGGGTCCACACAGCTTTTATTCCCGTAGCTATGCAGAAGACGTTACTTCAGTAACGTCTGGCGCTAGCCAGGGTCCACACAGCTTTAATTCCCGTAGCTATGCAGAAGACGTTACTTCAGTAACGTCTGGCGCTAGCCAGGGTCCACACAGCTTTAATTTGGTATTTGTTTGTTTGTGTGTTTGTTTGTTTGTTTGTGTCACGCCTGGCGCTATCCCGTATCTGTCCCTATCTGTCCCGTATCTGTGACTACAAAGGCTCTACAAGATTGTACATAACAGCTGTCCACAACATTTGCGGGCTCCTGTATCTGCCCCGTACCGTACCAATATTCGTGGTATTATGTATACGACTCCCGTTGTAGAGGGAGATTTGGAAAGAAATAGGGAGACGAGGAGGAAATAATTAAATTAGAATAGACGCCGAATAGGTGATAGGATGCGTCAGCATAAACATACATGTACTTTGGAAGAGAGATCCCGTCGTCTCCAAAATAAGCGTGAACGAGCGATTCAGCGCCGGTCACAGGAAACGTCGGAAGAGAGATCCCGTCGACTCCAGAACCCCCGTGATCGACAGAGTCCGTCGGTCCCAGGCAACGTCAGGACAGACATCCCGTTGAGTCCAGAACGCCCGTGATCGGCAGAGTCTAAGCCGGTCCCAGGAAACGTCAGGACAGACATCCCGTCGAGTCCAGAACGCCCGTGATCGGCAGAGTTAGCGCCGGTCCCAGTGAACGTCAGGACAGACATCCCGTCGACGCGCAGAAAAACTAAATCTGCAGCCTCTTTTGCCGTCGGACAGGATACGTATTATAGGAGACTGTAAAGTTATGTAATGTCCAAATTTCCACGTGAGCAGCAGGTCACTCGCGTTGATTTTTCGACGTGCGAGCCAAATAACGCGAGCTGAACTTTCGCGTCGCAGACATCCGGTCGACGCGCAGAAAAATTAAATCTGCAGACTCTTTTGCCGTCGGACAGGATACGTATTTTAGGAGACTGCTAATTTATGTAATGTGCTCCACAGGCAACCATGCATTCGGCGTCGTCATTGGCTCAACAGGTCAATGTACATGTATTACTACAAAAAGGCCAGAAAATCCGATTACTGTATTAAAATCAACAAATTTTCGCTGGCGATTTAATTTCGCTAATTTCGCCGCTTGGTACCAACCGGCCAAAGTAAATCGCAGGCCAAAGTTCGTCATAATTATAGGCAAATGATGCATGATTGAGCAATGGATGCATGTGAGAGCAAAAATACCTATCGATTTCAAATTTGACGTGAAATTGCGCGTCACGTCGGAAATAACGTGCATCTTAACATCTCTAATAGGGAGGTTTCTATTTCTCATCGGCCAAAATTTGTTGATTTACAGTATAAGGAGATAAAAAGAAAAGAAGGAGCAAACCAAAAGTAGATGATTATTAGAGAAATAACAATGCGCAATAAATTCTGCAAATATTTTTGCCTCAGTTCTTATAACATGTACGATGAGCTAGGCAAAAAAGCATAAAAGCATAGCGTAGGGCCCTGAGCTTCCAAGCTCTCTCGTTTGGTATTTGTTTGTTTGTGTGTTTGTTTATTTGTTTGTGTCACGCCTGGCGCTATCCGTATCTGACGGCAAAAAAGCATAGGATGTTATAAATTTTTCAATTCTCCTATTTTTTAAGGCATATCCTGGGATTCGAACCCGCACTATCGCCCTACATGCATTCCCCCATACACTTCGCATTCATACCCATTCTTCCAAGTTGCTTCACGTTATTATCTTGCGTTTGAAAGCCCTATTTGAATATTGCGGGCAGCTGTATGTGGCCAGCTGTGTTTGATGGTACGGTACGGTGCGGGAGACGGTATCGTATTACCCTCGATCGTACCTGTCCCGTACCTATCCCCTACCGTACCGTGCCATCAAAGACGGCTGGCCACAATGCATATTCAAATAGGGCTTTCAAATGCAAGATCACAATGTGAAACAACTTGGAAGAATTAGCATGTGTGCGAAGTTTATCGGGGGATGCATGCAGGGCGCGCAATAGTGCGGGTTCGAATCCCAGGTTATGTCTTAAAAAAAAAGGATTTTTTTAAAGAATTGATAACATCCCTATGATTGTTTCGTCAAGGTCATCAAGGCAAAAAAGCATAGCGTAGGGCCCTGAGCTTTCAAGCTCTCTCGTTTGGTGTTTGTGTGTTTGTGTGTTTGTGTCACGCCTGGAACTATCCCGTATCTGTCCCGTATCTGTGACTACAAAGGCTCTACAGGATTGTACATAACAGCTGGCCACAATATTTTGCTGGCTCCGGTATCTGTCCCGTACCATCCCGTACAAACAGCTGGCCACAATATTCGTCGTATTATGTATACGACTCCCTGATGTAGAGGGGGATTTGGAAAGAAATAGCGAGGCGAGGAGGAATAGAATTTAGAATGGGCGTTAGTTGCCGAATAGATGATAGGATGCATCAGCAAAAACATACTTTGGAAGAGAGATCCCGCCGCCTCCCAAATAAGCGTGAACGAGCGATTCAGCGCCTGTCACAGGAAACGTCGGAAGAGACATCAGGACAGACATCCCGTCGACTCGCAGAAAAACTAAATCTGCAGACTCTTTTGCCGTCGGACAGGATACGTATTTTAGGAGTCTGTAAAGCTATGTAATGTGCTCCACAGGCAACCATGCATTTGGCCGTCCTCATTGGCTCAACAGGTCAATGTATTACTACAAAAAGGCCAGAAAATCCGATTACTGTATTAAAATCAACTAAATTTCGCTGGCGATTTGATTTCGCTGATTTCACCACTTGGTACCAACCGGCCAAAGTAAATCGCAAGCCAAAGTTTGTCATAAAGGCAAATGATGCATGATTGAGCAATAGATGCATGTGAGAGCAAAAATACCGATCGATTTCTTTTTGAAAACTCCAATCGGCCAAAAGTTTAATGACGGCGAAAAGTTTTGTTTCGAGATCGTCCAAAGTTTCGAGATCAGCCAAAATTTGTTGATTTACAGTATAAGGAGATAACAAGAAAAGAAGGAGCAAACCAAAAGTGGATGAAATTAGAGAAATAACAATCCGCAATAAATTCTGCAAATACTTTTGCCTAACTCATAATATTCAAACTGATTGAAACGTTTTTGCAATACCATGATGTTGCCAATCAACGGAAAAAACATTTCCATCAGTTCTAATAACATGTACGATGAGCTAGGCAAGAAAGCATAAAAGCATAGCGTAGGGCCCTGAGCTTCCAAGCTCTCTCGTTTATTTTTTTCATTTTGTCCTCTCACCATCCTTTCAAATACATTCTAAGCTATGTGTGCATTTGAGCTGGGATGTTAAGCCAACGTCATCATGGCTAAATACAGGAAGGACAAAATGTTACGAGTTATGACCAATGCGGTTGCCAATGTAACCGAAATGCATGCAGGTAAGTATGCCCTTATTTGATAATCGTCTCTGGGGTGGTCTGTTAATCGTCTCTGGGGTGGTCTGTTTATGACCTGGGACAATCTATACCAGAGAAAACCACATCTCCTTTGCAAACGTGTTCATGTCCCGACTTGGTCTGTACGCCCTACACTCTGCCCTTGCCTTCATGCTATGTACGGAATTCTGAATTCTGTTTTCCTGCAGACAATTGCAACTACTTTAACGTCACGTGTCCTCAGGCTGAGCAATGCTTAAGCACCTCAGGGTCCTACACATGCTGCAAGCTCGGCTATGGACTCGATGCACAGGGGAAATGCGCTCGTAAGTTCCTCTGTGTGACTCTGTTACTCAATCGAATGCACCATGACATGTGCAGTGGCTACAACTGATATCCGACACATGATTAGCGTGGTCAATATTTTCGAGTGTCTGCTCTGAACGTCGGAGCTCGCGCTTCCTGCCGACTGGCTTGACACTTGACTGACTTACGACTGCGTCTGGAGAACACAAGGAGCACGTCGAACCTTCCATTCTGCAAATCTGCAAGAAAGCACCACTCCCTGCTCGAATACACAGTTTTCATATTATTGCAAAAGGAACAGTAGGGGAAGCAAACTGGCTGAAAAGAGAAAAAATACCATACTCGCCAAGACTCGAACCCGGGACCTTGCTTGTCATGAGCAATACTCTAACCATCTGAGCCACGGGGCTAGGCCGAACCTAGAAGGCACAGACAATGCGTTCACTCCAAAGGCTGCTCAGAAAACGTGCCGCGCATAATGATGGCACCTGGGTCTCTGCATCAGCGCTGAGATTTGTATTTATGAATTCTCCACAGGCCTTAGCCTAAATCGAGGGAGTCTACGTCAAAAGCTTATGAAGAAGAAGAAGCTGAGGAGAGAAATAAAAATAAAAGATAGAAAAACGCGGGGTGTTAGTAATTTAACACAGTGCTCTATAGCCTAGTTCACATTCGACGGAACGCTGACGATACGGGACGTAAGTGCTGGGGTGACACGACATACTGCAGTCGTTGCGTCATTTAACAGCAAACGCCGACAGTCATAAGGCACGGTCCGTGACAGGGTGACTTTAGGACCTAATTTCTTGTTTTTCGGGACTTCTTTTCAATTATTTCTCCATGAATGAAGCGGAATCAAGTTCACAATACCAGTTTTTCATGACCACCAAAAAAGTAGCTTCGAAAGGTGTGCCTTTCAAATAATAGCTACAGGAAATGATAAAACAGTTCGTCTGTCACGCTCCTGAACTATCCCTAAATACCATAAGTGACATCAGACCTAATCTTGCTAAAATTCAACTCAAGTCATGTTATCCATTCTACGAGTTATCATGGGAAGCGCAGTGTTCGAAATGCTAAAAATTTCAAAGTACGAATCGGGAGTAGTCGGCGCACGACGCCGTCTCCTGTTCACACTCAAAATGCAGCTTTTTTGTACGCTTGCGTCCCCGTCTATGCCCGTCTACGGTATGAAAATTTCGATCGATCCAACTCTTCCCGTCGCTTCCCGATCCGTGTGGCAGTACGGTTGCTTTCTCGTTCCTGGTGTTCACATTAGACGCCGTCAGACTGTCCAGTCGCTTCCCGTCGATCCTTGCGTCGTGTACCGTCGTGCCCCGGGCTGTCGAATGTGAACTAGGCTTACAATATCGCTAGTCTATGTGGAGTGAAACCAGAGGGCTCATAACAGGTGATAGCAAAGTGGGTGCAGACAAGAGCGGTAAAACATTTTGGGCTGGATACAGCACGAATGGCAACCGAGAGAGAGTTCCATGTGGCAGTGGTGACAAAGAGAAAGGTGGTACGGATGTGTGTGCTTGCTCTAGCAGGCGAATCGCGTGTCGTGTCGCAGAAAGTTGTATTGTGAATCGGCCTTTATTCATACCTCGTAACATTTTATCTTTCTTTTTTACCATAATTAAATTGGCCCACCATCCGAGTTCAACTTCGGTACAGGTAATGTTTTACCTGAAATAAAACGTGACTTAAAATTCAACCATGCCAAGCCACACAGTGTGCAGAATGCATTTTTGGATCTGGAAAAACCACTGCCGTTTCCGTGCTGCCTTCTCGATACATACGTATGCACACTGTATATCATGTGCACATTCACATGTCTGAAGGTTTGTGGTTTTTCACTAAAAATCAATAAAAAAACTGGTTTCGCGAAATTTTCGCGCTACCGAACCGTTGATTTCGGAAAATATCGAAAATACTAAACCAGCGAAAATTCCCAGTTTTACAGTTTATAACATACCGTAAAGTCTTGTACAAAAGTCGCGGCTTCTATGACTTTTTTACTGAAATTTTGCGGGCTTCTATATGAGACAGGCTTCTATACAAGACAGGTATTTCTATGTATGTCAACACTAAAACCAGGCTTATGTGTGATTTGATTGTCCCAAAATTGCGGCTTCTATTCAAGTGCGGCTTTTATACAAGACTTTATGGTAGTCTACTGGCAAGGCGGTGATGCTGTGCCAAGCGTTATCTGACCGAGCAGTTCGCAAAATCCACGCCTTTCCATCGACGACTTTTAACAAGCTGCAATAAGGCAGCAGCGGCGCCAGCAGTACAAGCAGGGAGACACGACCCGTGAGCGGAAAGCAGCGCTAAGGCCGCTGTGGCCCTTGCGCGCCTCGGATGGGTTTTGGACCGTGCTAGATGTCATTGAAACTGAAACGTGGCACAAATCTCTGGCTCGCGGGTCGAGTATCTTTGGCCACGACTGCAGTATTGGTGGCACCACAAGGGCAGAAAGGGTGTGGGGAGAATCAGCCACGGCGATCTTAACCAGTCCTTGTTACGTTTGAATGCGTTGGGTTCTTCTGCCATTGCTGTTTCTACATTCTGCGGATTGCAATAGTTATATTTTGTGTTGAGTAGCTGTACATTTGGTTGAGCTTGAATTATTCTTTTGTGGCCATTAGCGAGAGTAAATAAGCTCCAAAGAGTGTGCGACTGTCAATATGGTGTCTCCGACAGCGAAAACTCGCACCAAACGTTTCAGGTTCCCTTTGTACTACGTACAATGAAGGAAAATGAAAACGTCACATAAATTTCTACATCAGATTGCTAAGTTGAAGGGCTGTAGGCCGTGTAGACAAACGGATAGTGCTACCACATTCACGCCTCGTGTGTCCCTCTTGTTGCTGGTCTGTAATGTCCTGCATCTGATTGTCAGCTTCTAGTATGCTGCAGTACTGTCAAGTCTTATAACGAAGTGCTAAATCTAACGAGTTAACGAGGAACACACGCTTCCTACCGACCTTGACACTCGCCTGCTCCGTCAAGTGTCAAGTTCGGCAGGAAGCGTGTGTTCCTCGTTGCAAGAATCAACTTCATGACTTATACCGCCGAAGTCGCAACTTCTAAGAGGAGACCTTTGCTGTTAAAAAAATATATATGTTGGACTCAGTAGAGCGTCCAGCCCCTATATGATGTCCAACCCCTATATAGAGTCCATTGGTCCAAAATCCACTGTACAGAGTCCAAACTTGGAATCAACTGTGAGCTCAAAGTTTCGATGGACATCACTCCCTGTATAGAGTCCAGCCAATTGGCTTCACCCCTATATAGAGTCCATTGGTCCAAAATCAACTGTACGGAGTCCAATCTTTGAAATCAACTATAAAGAGTCTTTATGTGGACAACACCCCCTGTATAAAGTCCAGCCAATTAGGCATCCCCTATCGAGCTCGAAAATAGACATAGGATCTGCTGTAAGCAGTGAATATTAACCAGAAAACGGCCTCTCCCTTTAATCCTTTACATCATTCACTTCTCAAGATAAAAAATATATATTGAGGCGCCACTGCAGCCACGTCATTACATGAAAAACCCTACAAACACCATCCTCAAATCAAGTGGTCTCTTCGCAGACGCTGCAAATTACAATATCTCAATCATGTAGTGTTGCCAACTTATTGTGCACGCACACACACATGCACACACCCACACAACGCCAAGAAAATAACTAGAAAAAAACCAAGAATCGAAAGAGAATAATGGAGAGCCCAGGATTAATTATTTGTTTTCAAATTATTGTGTGCGCGCGCGCGCACACACACACACACACTTATACAACGCCAAGAAAACACCAAGAAAAGAGTAGAACGTCCACCCATTTACATGTAAAGTCAAGAGGGATAACAAATAATTATACGAAACGAATGCGTACGGGGAAGGGTACACGCACGTTTACATACACGTAGTAGTGTAAGAGAGTAACATAGTGCAGTGGTCAGCATAATACTAGCACATGCTGAGAGTGCAATAGCAAGCTTCACCATTGCTCATGGCCATGCAAATGTTCAGCAGCACTCAGTTCCGCAAGCTTCTGAAGATCAGCACACCTGCAACAAATAGATAGCACAAGGATACGCTTATTACCGTAATGATGCATGGGAGCACACAAATACCAAGTTCTCAACGAATGTGATGCTCAATGAAAATCAATCCACTCAAAGAAATGTGAACAGGTGATGGTGGGTACAATAATCTATTAGTAATACGAGGAATAAGATGGTTTGTGCACACTCAAAACGCACAGACACACCAACATACATGTGGTGTACACAGTGTTTCACTTCACTGCAACTAAATTGAAATGAGATGATTTGAACAATCTGTACAGCGTTGCTGTCAGTCAGTCTTCCCCAAGATGGAAATGCAATGATTTGTTGTCACGAGGCAGTTTCACTGACACAATGTCATGTTCGTGACATCAAAACGGTTACTTCAGGGAATACGAGTATTAGCTTGAGAAGCTTTTTCTTGTCATTGGCATACAAGCAATCCTCCTAGTCCTACTACTACTAGTACACTGGCACTGCGTTTGTGGATCCCATTGTATTCGACATCATACTACAGGAAGAGTGTCGTGGAGTTCACATAATTATCACAGGGATAAAAATACATTTCTCATGAAATAAAAATTGATGATAGCTAGACGATCATATACGATTGATGCAAAGTCCTAGCAGTCCTTGAGGACTATTACGAAGTGGTTGATTACTTTTAGGGCATTCATTCAAGCAACATCAAACAAACGCGATACGCTCCTTGAAAATGGAAAAAAATTCAAGCATAACGACAGAACAGCAGACCAATCGAAACGAGTAAAAGCTTCCTTACCTAAGTCATCGTCCTGCCATGTAGTTGGACAGCCTTTTGACACGGTGGTACAGGCAGCTCTTGTCCAGTCAAACAGGGGTATCCTTGTGGCGTCGAACGAAAGAGAGTGTCAGTGTATCTGACTCGTCAGATTGCAACTGTGCTGAACTTTTCTCTTTCTCCGCTTTCTGCTTTCATCCCTCGCTCTGATGAAACCGTTCAAACGTCTTACTGGCAGCCATGGCCAGCCAAACAGGGGATCCTTGTGGCGTCGAACGAAAGAGAGCGTCAGTGTACCTGACTCGTCAGATTTGAACTATGCTGAACTTTTCTCGTTCTGCAATTTCTGCTTTCATCCCGCGCACTGATGAAACGTCTTAAGAGAACCACAAGACGCTTTCCAGATTTGATTTTGAACGTCTCCTTATCCTCCTTGGTTAGCTCGAGACAGATTACTGTCAGCAACTGCACAGCAGAATTGGCAGCCATGGCTGAAGTGAAGAAAGGAATGCGCTGCCACTGCGCTGCCACGAGGCAAGCAAAAGTGAATTTTTTTTAAAAATGTGTTCACTTTCGGGGCACAACACACAGGACGGCGTGACTGGATAAACTGGACTCCTGGACCGTGAATAGGGGACTTGTAGAAAAAGTGTACTCCTTATAGCGGATTGCGCGGCAGGATGAAGCTGATCAAAACTGAGTGGACTCCTGGACTATGTATAGTGGATTTTGGACCAATGGACTCTATATAGGGTGCTGGACATCATATAGTGCATGGACTCTATACTGAGTCCTACATATATCTATTCTACAGAAATCGATGCTTATACTGTTGTTATTGAGCGTTGAGAATGAGTGAGAATCGTTACCTTTGAAAGTACACGTAAACCGGTCAATTTTAGGAAAGTGTTATAATTCTGCCTCGTGTAATAGAATAATGGCTTTTTACAGCATTTTTTAATCACACTTGTTAGTGCCTCACTTGCAAATTTTGTTGTTGCCACCTTTTCCATCGCTACTGTTGTGCTCCCGATTTGTATTACTTACATAGTTCTTGTGCATACCTCTAGGCATTATTCTAAGCTGTTTTCCTTTCTCAAGGTGGGGAAGCTCCACTGCAGCCGCTTCGTTGCACTGAACACACTACGTATGCCATCCTTAAAGCTGCAAATCGCTATGGTCACAATCAGGTTTTCGACCAGGAACCTCCAGCAGGATATCCTTTCTATCTGTTTGAGTTGTTCATGGAATCGCCTAGGGAAGAAGAGCAGTGGTTAACACAGAGAAGGGCTGCAGCTCTCTTTTGGCCGCTGCTTTCATGCACTGAGCAACGTTCTTTCCTTGCGTTTCAGAAAACGTTTGCGGTGCATTCAAAGGACAACCTAATACCGTCTACACCAGGGTCAGCAACGTGGCCAAGAATGTGTCTTGCCCCCCGGGCTTTCGTCTTGCGCCTCACAGCCCATCAACCATCTACTGTGATGGCACTAACTGGACATACTCTTACTGCACAGGTTAGTCCAACTCGGGTATACTAGTAGTTATTATTTCCATTAATGTAGTGTCTTGTATTAAAGCCTATCTCGAATAGAAAAAGCCTGCTTTGAATGCAAGCCTGACTTTCACAGGGGCGTCGGAAGGAGGTATAAAGTGGTACGGCTCGACAGTCAGAGGGGGTCCGGGGCAACTTCCCCCGGGAATGTTTTTTTCAAAAAACACTGTTATCTAAACCTTCCCAGGCACTCAGTCATGCACCCCGTGCACACCGTCACACAAAAGATCACAGCCTTTTCAGATAAGGAACAAATTGTGCATGGTTGAAAGGAGAGAGAAAATGAGAGAGGAGCAAGAGAGAACTGGCTGCGCCAAGAAGAGCGAATGCAAAACCGCTGTCCCTGGCAAAACGTGCGCGTACAAGTGCAGCACAAACGAGACCAGCGTACTACACGCAACAAATAAGGGTAGCGGGACGCAACCTAAAACGATACCAGTCTCCCCAGAAAGGTGCGCTGCTGCGCACAGCCCGCGTATCCATGGAAAACATGGTGCGAAACAAATGCAGAGATGCAGAAGCAAAATAAATCAGAAATTCGAACGACAAACAGTAGTGAGCAAGACGAAGACAGAAAGATCAAAGATAAGGAAAGAAAAGTGTTTGATCTGTCAGTGGGTGCTTGCACCCAATACGGGGTGACAGTAAACCCTGTCAGATAGTGACACATCGTAGAGTTACTCTGCAGAGGGACTTCACTGAGCAAGAATATAACAAACCACGTAAGTAACTCTAGCAAATCGTGAATAATAATAATGCATACACAATGTTATCTTAAAAGTATTCGAACACCATAGTTCCCTTTCAACACTCAAAATACCCCTCTAAGAGGGTCTCCAAAGGTACAAAGTCATTAAGGATAACAAAGAGACCGACTAGATCTACGAGTCACGACGCATACATGCCATGCAGTTCCGTAGTCGACAGTCTAGTCACGCGTTACACGGTGCAGTGACCTGACTGGTGCACCAGTGACGGATCGCGGCTCACGATCACGCTTGGTGATGTACAAACTTGATACCCCCATTTTTTACACCGGATTTGGACGTTCCGCGTGGACCAGCTGGAGCCAAAAGTGGTACGGCTCGAGCGTACCAGTCGTAATGCTTCCGACGCCCTTGTTTCAAGATACACAGTCGGCGCACTGGTCTGGTTTTAGTGTTGATACATATAGAACTACCTGGTTTGAATAGAAGCCTGATGTGAATAGAAGCCTAGCCCTTACATCGGCTTCTACTGGAATAGGCCCGACTTCAATACGTGGCATTACAGTATTTATAATAACAAGAGTGCATGAAATCCAGAGGGTGCAGCTCGCATGGGTTGCTCTCACGGCGGAATTCCGTGATTACCTTATTTTGGTGATGTGTGCAGCTCGGATGGGTTGCTGTCACGGCGGAATTCCGTGATTACATTATTTTAGTGATGTGTGCAGCTCAGATGGGTAGGGAAGGCCTCTTTTACGGGCAAAGCAAAGCACAATCATCACCATGTATCAGTACAGTGAGTAGTTAAACCCAACACGAATGAAAAATGTGAAATGGAATAAAACAATATTTGTAAACAAAAATAAATAAATCAAAATTCAATATCGAACACGAATAAAATAAAATAAAAATATGTAAAAAATAAAAAATAAACAATATCGAACACGGAATTAATTCCGGAACTATCTACCCAACCAATTCATAAGGCAATACCCGCACACTGTGTCAGTGATGGAACTCCGTTACCCGATCAACATGCATAGACCACTCAATCACATGCTTAGAAGCCGCTCTCCACAATGGCCAACTCCCTCATCGCATTAACTGGACGATGCAGCTCAGATGGGTTGGGGTCACGGCGGAATTCCGTGATTACATTATTTTGGTGATGTGTGCAGCTCGGATGGGTTGCTGTCACGGCGGAATTCCGTGATTACCTTATTTAAGTGATGTAGCGCATACAAGCTTTGAAGCAGTATCCAAGCGCGTCTCTTGGTGTACAACTGCAGCTCAGTTGTACGCCCTACGCCATTTCCCGCCTCAGATCTGCGCCAAATATGATGTAAAAAATGCCATTTTCCGTGGTTGGATTCACCCTCCCTTTCTTGTATCGGCTATGTATTATTATGTGCCATGAAGTGGAGACGATAAATAAATAAAATAGATAAATAAACACGGAATTCCCCCGTAGAAAAGGCTGCACACTCTGGTTTTCATGTACTCTTGATAATAATTATCCTATCCACGATGGCAATTAACCACATTGCGTTACAGATCCTTTCAATGTTCTTATCTTTCCTTTTCCTTCTCCACCTGTACTTCTCCTTAGTTTCCTCTTTTCTCTTTAGCTCTTCTCTTGTACCTTCTTGCTATCATTCACTGATGTGGGCGTTGAATAAATCATGGATTACACAACTCGGGGTACTGAGCCAATAGCCAAAATTTAATGTAAAAAATAAGCAAGCACACACACGGGTTACTACGAGTTATGAGTAACTGTCCACTGCTGTAACGAGATCATTGGTCTTACCATAACCTTGAACTTCCCTAGCTTGAAGGTTGTTGATTTGCACACTGGAGGTGTGTGAGAGCTAGGTCTCAGGTCGCTAAATGGCACAGTAACGTGTCAGTTTTGTGCCCGGTTATTGCACTTTCTGACTGCTTATTACCTTGTTACAGTCGTGGATAGTTGCTTCATAACTCGTTTCCATGTGATTTCTTCTATTTTTTTATTATAATCATTTATTGGCTCAGTATCCAAGATAATACGCAGTCAGAAAGTGCGATAACCGGGCACAAAACTGACACGTTACTGTGCCATTCAGCGACCTGAGACCTAGCTCTCACTCACCGCCAGTGCTCAAACCTCTTTTACAATGTCATTTACGTTTGGCTCAGTACCCGAGTTCAATTTTGCATTTGATAGTACGAAATTTGAAGGGCCTTAACCTAGCTCGAACACATCTCCATTGCGCAAACCAACAGCCTTCCAGCTCCAGGTTCAAGGTTATGGTAGGACCTATGAGGGGATGGCGAGCGCAGCAAAAATGTGCATAAACTATGTCCCAAGGCAAACTAAGAATGTCGACTATTACGGTATTCTGTCATTTTTGGGCTGACCAGAGTTCCCCGAATATACCGTAAAGTCTTGTATAAAAGCCGCACTTGAATAGAAGCCCCATCAAATCACACATAAGCCTGGTGTTAGTGTTGACATACATAGAAATACCTGTCTTGTGTAGAAACCTGCCTCATATAGAAGCCTGCAACATTTCACCAAGAAAGTTATAGAAGCCGCGGCTTTTATAATAATAATAAATAATATTCGCGGGATCCGCGTCGGCATCGCTTGAATGTTCAGAAACAAACAAACTAGCCTTCGCATCCGCAGGCCACCACTATGCCCATTACCCTTAGTGGCGAATGCAGACCTCACAAGTGAGTCAGGGGAGAGGAGGTTAGTCTCTCAACCAATCGGGCGTGTAACGGCCCATAACCCTGTAAACTGCATCCTTGTTATTCTCACTCCGAGCTGTGAGTACCCAGTTGACCGTGGGTGTCGGCGCAGTTCAGCACGCTTTTACACGCTCCCTGCTACCAGCGCGGGTCTTGAACTCGGGACCTCATGATTCGCAGGCAGGCCTGCAAACCAATCGGCCATATGCCAGACTTTACGGTAAGCATCTGCCGCTAGGGTTTATCGGGTGTTAGCGGCCGTCGTGAGTTCCTTTCGGGAACGGACACGATAATTTACTTTTTTTACGGTAAGTCACACTTTTTACACAAAATTTCACTGAGGGTAAAAAAGGGGTGCGACTTGCAATCGAGCATGACTTACTACTGAAATCAATATATCGAAACAACATGGCTCCTGCCTAACATAGCACTGCTAGCCCCGAAACCTATAGACTCGAGCCCCCACATTCTCACACAGCTTTTCATGCAGCGCTACAAGACCCATGCCCACCCTCTCCTGGCATAATATTATTATTATACACCAGCATGGTCGGCACCCCATCCTCATGTTGCCTGATGATGACACAACTCTGAACCAATTAGAAGTCCACCATAGATTTATACTTAAAATTCTTTACAACAAGGATCGATGTTTTCCTTCGGATGCCCTTTATCGACTTGCACACACTTCTCCTCTCTCCGTTCGTCATAAGCACCATCTCTGTACACTGGTTCATAAAATATTTCTTCATAAAACCCCTTCACACGTGATGAAGTACAATTGGTTTTCGACAAGCTCAACCCGTAACGCGCTCATCCTGCCTCTTGTTAAGTCAGCCCAGTATCTAAAGTCCCTTTGTTTTCCGGCTACTCTCATTGGTTATCATTACCATACGGTCTAAAAACTTGTTCTTCTATTGGTCAGTTTAAAAATCTACTATCACAAATGAATTAGACGCAATAATTATCATCGAAGAACATTCTCGAATACCTGGGTGATGCACGAATTTTGATAGTGCTCACTTCCGTTAATCGTTTTTCTTTGCAATTTTCCAATCATTTTCTGCTTTAATTCATATTTGCTTTGTTTTCCGAGCTTACTATTGCCGTGGCTGGCTCAACGCCCTTGTCTCAGGGGATTCTGTCCCTGCATTAGCTATGCTTGTCACATGCTATGAGATTGTGTCTAATAATAATAATAATAATAATAATAATACGAAGTAGTGGTTGCGACTTCGGCGATGATTTGTAAGAAATGGTTTGCTCCCCACACCGGAGCTCGCGCTATTCCGCCGACTTTACTTGACACTTGACTGACTCACGACTGCCATCCAGAGCACACGAGAAGTCCATCGAACCTTCGACTCGGCAAACCTGCAAGAAAGCACCACTCCCTGCTCAATACACAGTGTTTCGGGGAATTCACCCCTCATCAGTTGAGCTTGAGTAGGCTGAGGAAGATTGTGCCTGAAGAGCACCACTTATATAGTGCTCTCCAGGCACAAACATCACCAGGGATACAAACTTACAGAGACGCTCCGTTTCAAGCGCGACAAACACCTCCTGAACACCAGATACACTGACTCACGCTGCTATCTGGTGTTCACGAGGTGTTTGTCGCGCTTGAAACGGAGCGTCTCTGTAAGTTTGTATCCCTGGTGATGTTTGTGCCTGGAGAGCACTATATAAGTGGTGCTCTTCAGGCACAATCTTCCTCAGCCTACTCAAGCTCAACTGATGAGGGGTGAATTCCCCGAAACACTGTGTATTGAGCAGGGAGTGGTGCTTTCTTGCAGGTTTGCCGAGTCGAAGGTTCGATGGACTTCTCGTGTGCTCTGGATGGCAGTCGTGAGTCAGTCAAGTGTCAAGTAAAGTCGGCGGAATAGCGCGAGCTCCGGTGTGGGGAGCAAACCATTTCTTACAAATAATAATAATAATAATAATAATAATGTAGAAGAGAAAAGGACAATCATATGGATACGAGTTAAGAGTAACTCTCCATCACTGTAACATGATACTTTATACAGTCAGAAAGTGCAATAACTAGCCCCCCGAGTTTAATAATAATAATAATAATAATAATAATTTGCAGAAAATAATAATATTATGATCGTAATATTAATCACTTGCCAATAACAAAGACAACAATAATACCATCAGCCCCCATTCACCGGTTTTGACGGTGCTTCACTGATGTTCAATGAGAAGAATTATATTGCTGCCTTCAGTGCTATTGTGTCGCTGAAGGGCTCGATTTCAGATTTGATGACGGTTACTTTTCAACGGATTTTGTTTTCTGATTTAGCTCTCTTGCTATTACTGTACCTGCTTGTGTTAAGTCTCATTCTCGCAGATTAGTTGTATAATAGATTGTACATGCATCATTGTAGATTTGCTGTTCACAGTATTTCTCTCTTTTTTCTTTCTTTTTTCTCAGTCTTCCTTATTACATTTTCTTCACATACAACAGCAGTACTCCCCATGGTCTTAAATGACCCGGGATGCTGCATAATACAAACACAAAACCAATAAAGCCACCCCCATAATAATAATAATAATGATTGCGAGAGCATGAAACTTGAAGAAGTTGAAGCAAACAAGCCTTGATTGTCCTTAATGTTTTGTGTCACAGATATAGATGAATGCGATGTACAACCACTCCCCTGTGAGCTGAGTAGATGTGTCAATGACGTGGGAACGTACCAATGCTGCCCTCTCGGCTATCGCAAGAATATATCTCTGCCGACACGCTGTGGAGGTTAGTCACTTGCTCAAGCCCTGCGTGTCTTCGGGCAAGAACATGTTCTAATGTGTCCTGTGGATCTTTACTGTATATGTGGGTGTGTGAGCCTGACAATGCGCCTGAGCCTCCGCCCCGAGTGGTATGTACGGTATGCGGACGGGATTTTGCATGGAATGGAGACATGGCTCGGCATAAGTGTCTGGAGGTGCGTGCGCGGCCTGTGTCTGAGCAGCGGGGCGCCAGTCAGTGCGGGCGGTGTGGGCAGTAGCTGAGAAGCCGCTGTGGCTTGGTCCGGCATGTGTGTGCCTCAACGGTGGATGCCACAGTGCTACCTGGAGCTACCGGAACGTCGGCACCGGCGGAGGGATGTTGTGCCGCGCATTGTGACAGGTGTGGTCGCTGCTTTCGCGGTGTCCGGGGACGGGGCAGGCATCTCTGTTCAAGGGGGCGAATAGACCAACAGCAGAGGAGCGCTCAGCCTTCCAGCACGTGTGCATATGCGGCAAGCGGATGCGACTACCCGTGCACCTGGAGCGTCATCGAGCGTCGTGACCTCTCTCTCTCTCTCTTCTCAAGTTTCCCAGTGATGGGATCACGTGACCCCTTTGCGGCAGTGACTCTACAGGACAGGACAGGAACGGTGTGTGTGTGTGTGTGTGTGTGTGTGTGTGTGTGTGTGTGTGTGTGTATGTGTGTGTATGTGTATGTGTATGTGTGTGTGTGTGTGTGTGCGTGTGTGTGTGTGTGTGTGTGTGTGTGTGTGTGTGTTTGCAGCACAGCTACGGCACTACTACATGCTGTACGTGTGGCGGCCATGTTCCTCTATCCATTCTTTAAATTTGAAACTTGGATGTTGAGCCAATAATAAATGTAGAAAGTAAAGGACATAATTATGGATACTAGTTAGGAGTAACTGTCCACCCCTGTAACTAGATACTATAATTATAAAGTCAGAAAGACGTCGAATGTCTCAGTACTCTGTCAGTTTTGTGCCTGGTTTATGGACATTCTGACTGTATATACAGTCCATTTCAAAACCATAGACCCGTAGTGTTTTGCAAAATTCGATGGGATTCATTTTAAAAAATGGTTTTTTTCTCCAGATTCCGTCTCTGCATCGCTTCACAATTCTGGCTATACACTTTGTTTTCGCTACAATTGAAGTTTATTTTTAGGCCAGGTTTCCCGGTTTTACATGTAATTCCTGTTTTGAAGGGTTTGACCAGTTTGTTTCGGATTTTTTGCTCCTGGTGAGACAGTGCTGCGCCCAGACCATCGCCGGTGCATTTTTGTACGGGTCCTGGTAGCCACGTGGTTTCGATCCGTGATTTCCAGTACAAGTGTGGGGCATTCGAATCCCATCACGACTCCTGCCTTTTTTTCTCTTCTTTTCTGCATGTTTTGGATCTTGTTGGGTGAAATACAGTAGGGATGATAATTATATTTTCTCTTTTTGATATGATTTGAGCCTCTCTGTTCCCTTCGCCTGACACAACGAGTGACAGTGGTTTCATTCATGCCAGTTGCAGGGGGAGTTCAATGACGAGGATTTCGGATACTCAAGCTTAGATCAAAATCCAGCTCTTGTTCGAAGGAACAATGAACACGACTAATCATATCTTTCTCGGCATCGCTGAGATTCTTACGGGCCTTGGAAGCCGTTACAGTCAGCCACTCAAAAAATGCAAACAAGAAGAAGATTCATTTGAGACTTTCATTTCTTTGGAGACTTTCCTCACACCTTTTCATTTTGGGACTTTGCGTGTTTTGCATCTTTTGTATTTCCTGCGGCGACGAAGAAAAACCTGAAAAACACATCTGAAAACCAGAAAACATTCAGGCAAAACTCACGGCTGTCGCGCGCTACAGTACGTACGACTCATACGTATGAATTCACTCGTCTATAGTTTTTGAAATGGACTGTAGTATCTAGTTACAGTGGTGGACAGTTACTCTTAACTCGTATCCATATGTCCTTTTCCTTTCTACATTCTTAGAATGTCGTTTGATGACTCCACACCAGCCATAAACATACCAATAAGATGTTCTCGCCCTCTAAATAAGTTCTTTCAATTTGATTTTAGAAAGGGTTAGGAGAACTGCTTCAAACTCAAGGATCAGTCGGGGAAACGAACTGTCTGAAAAGAGAAAAAATGCCAGACCCACCAGGACTCGAACCCAGGACCTTGCTTGTCATGAGCAATGCTCCAACCAACTGAGCTATGGGACCAGGCCGAACCTAGAACGCGCTGGCAGGTGTTTCACTCCAAAGGCAGCTCACAACACGTGCCACAGCCCACAGGGACACACACTGATGGCACTTGGGTCTCTTCCCTCCCCAGAGGACCAACCATGTGCACGGTCAGTTTCCGTTTCCGCAGGGCGATGCGACACAGCTAGCGCATGTAGCCCTGTCAGGGCCCAAAGGGTTGAGAAATATAGAAAACTGTTTCTCCCCTGCCCCCCCCCCCCCTCCACACACATACATACTGTACACACACATACATACACACACATACATTTCATTGAGCAACACTGTACCAGGCCACCAAGCCGCTGCATTTAACACTACAATAATAGCAAGAGTATAATTATAACCCCCCCAAGAGTGTGCAACACATGATACCCTTTCTATGGGGTTCGCCGACTCCAAAAACTCACATGACGTGGTGTAGTGTCGTAGTTGTACGTTTCCAGCCCGTTTTAGCGAGCAGCGGAGTAATAAAAAAGCACACTCTGACAGAAACTCACTGCGCGTATGCAAATCCCCAGCATGTTTGTGGTAGATACTCGGATTGCGCGCCCGCTATCCTTCCTTTGTACGTAGAACGAACACGTTATGTGAGTTTTCGCCGTCGAAGACACCATAATGCAGAGTTGCACACTCTTGGGGGTTATATACTCTTGATAGTAGGATGCAGCAGCTTCAACTTTGTGGCAACTCGATTGTGTGGCACTTCAACTTTGCGATGCCTCGACTGTATCGTGCTTCAAGCTATGTCCGATGATTTTCATGCTTTATTCTTCTCCCGCTCAGAGAACTCGTGCCCCCCTCCGGCCCCAATTCCCAATGCCGTTACCACCGGCAACAGCACTGTGGAGAAGAATGTTTCCTGCTTGCCTGGCTACACCCTGGCCCCCGGTTCACCACCGGTGATTTACTGCCAAACTAACCAGAAATGGATATTCTCTGCCTGTGAGGGTAAGTCCCACCGTTTGAACCAGAGTACAGTATTGCACACCTGGTTAAAAAAAGAGCCCGCTATGAAGAGTGTGTTGTGGGTTTTGTTATGATGGACTGATAAGGTTAAATAAGTACATGTATGTGAAGTAGAATTCAGAAACGTTTTTCTTTGATGGTCATCGGTGAACCTACATATTTTATTTTATTAGTCCATCATGGAATTATGTTGGCTTTAATTGTTTTAGTCATTGTATTGCTGAAGTTTCTTTCTCCAAAACGGCTTTTTTCTTCTTCTTTTTTTCAGTGTTTTACTGAACTCCACAACCCAACAATCTTCAGGAAGACGATACGGTGGACATTGAAGGGCCTATAAATATAGGAGTGATGAAGGGATTTTATGTGATTAGTCAACAGGTGTCTCGGCACCACAACACCCCTCAGTATTATAGTGAAGGGTAACGAAGCGCCATCCTAAGGATCCGCTTTTTAAGAACACATTAGCTTGCAGTAACAAAGTTCCCGGGTTGCGTCCAGCTAACATGCTCCATAGTGGATGGGATGATGTTGAGATAGCAGGAGTGCTGGCCGCAGTATGATTCGGAGATAACTTGTTAGCAACAAGTGCTGGATGGTATGGTATTCTAAAAGATAGCAGGAGTGCTGAGGTCGGGTAGACGGATGCTGTCGTGCCCACCTGGTATGCGCTGAGCTCGCTGTTGACATGCAAAGTAACTCACCCTAAGTGCTGCTTGCATTGCTGGTCGACCAGCCCTTCTGGATACTAGTAACACCACGAGATCATAAGCTTATTAAATTAAAAGTTGAAAAATAAATTCACTGTTCGCGTGAGACTCGGCTGGAAGCCGAGTTTTCCGTATTCTGTATCGCATCGCAGTTTGCGATGCAAAATCAATCTACTGCTACTCAAAAGTCACCATGACTCGCAGAAAACTGCGATACATACAGACTATCCATGCCGAGCCTGCGCTATAGGGCTCTCCAGGCACAAACATCAAAAGGGATACAAACTTACAGAGACGATCCGTTTCCAGCGCGACAAACACCTCGTGAACACCAGATAGCAGCGTGAGTCAGTGTCGCTCCTGGACGGTGAGAACAGACGTCGAGGACCCTCGGTCATTCGCAACGCTGTCACCTCCAAACCAACTACAGCACACTGTAGTCGCAAGCCCGCGCTGGGCACAACAGTACGAAGTAGTTGTTGGGACTTCGGCGATGATTTGTAAGAAAGGGTTTGCTCCCCACACTAGAGCAGAAACTTTTCTGCAAAAATATGACAAGAAATTCATCCTTGAATTGGTATAATCGTTTCAGCCCTAATAACCCATAACTCCCAGCAGATATGTCCAACAATTGTGTGCGTGTGTTATCTGGCCTGCAGATGTGAAGTCACCTGGCGGACTGAACTCGACGAACTTGGTGGCTCCCATTGCCGGATCTATCGCTGCCGCTGTAATTGTACTTATTGTGGTGGCCTTCGTAGTACTTCGACGTCGCTCGCGGAGATCTGGCAACGCGCAGTTGAGGAAACCGGTCACGCCGCTGACGGGAATGCTCAGCACGTCCATGCTCCTAACCAACACAATGTCTCGCACGCAGAACGAGCGGTCGCGCGCAACTTCCGACACTAGAACCATCGTAGAGCGGCCGCCCTGTCAGGAGACAGCCTGCTCCCCGACCAGCGAATGTGCCAGCGGATACGCCAGCAAAAACGCCTGGGACCGGGGATCATCGTGCGGCGATGATGAGTCCAGCTCCGAGACCAGCAGGTACGCCGGCAAAGCCGCCCAAGAAAAGAAATCATGCAAGGAGGAGGAGTACTTCGACGAGACCAACAGATACGCCAGCCCCAAACTGATTAGAAAAGAATACTCGTGTTAGAATTCCATGTTACTTGCAGAATGTACGTAGAGAATAGACAAAAATGATTTCACCCCCCCCCCCCCCCCACACACACACACACAAGCAGACGCACTCCCTCGGTCCGTGTATGCACATGCTTGTTGGCCGCGCCATTGCATTCACCTGAACACAATCCATGACGTCACGCAAGCGCCTACTTACTACTGGTCATTAGCCAGTAGCTAGTGGCCAGTGAGTTTGGCTGAATACTGTCCAGACCTGCAGCACTGCTTTGCTCTGATAATTTGTATGCCGAGTCGACCTCTGCTGATGGCCTTCTACATACCAAAATGATCTATCATAATAATAGCAAGCCATAACCATTTTTTATTTCTTTATGTACCCTTGATAAGTATGAGAAGTCTCCGTCTTTTTTAAATCCCTTTCGTGTTGCAGCTCTGTTTTAGTCTGATACGTTGTATGCCTACGGTCTCTGCCTGTGGCTCTCTACACATATTGTCCCATAAGGTTAATTGTTGGTTGGTTGGTATATTTTATTTTACTTCGCCAGAATGAACAGGCATTGCTGCCTTCTTGCCTGGACAAGTGGATTGTCCAAGCTCTCACAAAAAGACGAAGAAAGGAAAGAAATATTACATGAGAGTGTGAAGCATGCAATCTTATAAAAAAATTTAAAAAATTCCATGAGAGTGTGACGCAAGCATGATGAGAGAGGAGAGATAGATTCGAGATAGAGATAGATAGATGGAGAGAGAAATAGAGAGAGAGAGAGAGAGAGAGAGAGAGAGAGAGAGAGAGAGAGAGAGAGAGAGAGAGAGAGAGAGAGAGAGAGAGAGAGAGAGAGAGAGAGAGAGAGAGAGAGAGAGAGAGACTGCGTTATTGCCTGGACAAGTGAACTGTGAACTCTCTTACAAAATGACCAACAACAACAGCAACGGCAACAACAACAGCGACAGCGACAACAACAACAGACCAACAACAACAGCAACGGCAACACCACAGCAGCAGCAACAACAACAAGAGAGAGAGAGAGAGAGAGAGAGAGAGAGAGAGAGAGAGAGAGAGAGAGAGAGAGAGAGAGAGAGAGAGAGAGAGAGAGAGAGAGAGAGAGAGAGAGAGAGAGAGAGAGAGAGAGAGAGAGAGAGAGAGAGAGAGAGAGAGACGGCTTTACTACCTGGACAGGGAATTGTACAAGCTGTCACAAAATGACCAACAGCAACAACAACGACAGCAGCAGCAGCAGCAGCAGCAGCAGCAGCAGCAGCAGCAGCAGCAGCAGCAGCAGCAGCAGCAGCAGCAGCAGCAGCAGCAGCAGCAGCAGCAGCAGCAGCAGCAGCAGCAGCAACAACAACAACAACAACAACAACAACAACAACAACAACAACAACAACAACAACAACAACAACAACAACAACAACAACAACAACAACAACAACAACAACAACAACAACAACAACAACAACAACAACAACAACAACAACAACAACAACAACAACAACAACAACAACAACAACAACAACAACAACAACAACAACAACAACAACAACAACAACAACTAGCTCACCAGGAGTAAGAAGCAAGTTTTGAAGCTCTGAGTGTCGTGACCACGTCCCCACCCTAGAAGCATATATGCACTGCTATTCTAACTAGTATTACCTATCTAGCATGGATGACTCCCCAGCGCCAGGCAGCCCAAAGCCTGAGCCCCCAGAGCCACTGTGGAGGTCGATGTCGCCGGCCGAATTGAAGGCCAATACCGTAATATTTGTCGACGGCCTCGCAGGCCAGAAGATAGTAGAAATTGCGGACACCCTCATCGACCAGGGTTATGCTGACGTCGCCTCCGTCCAAATTACCGGATCAGCCTGTAAGGTAACGTTCTGCAGCCAATCTACAACTAAGTCCATTGCAGAACACGGTTTCTTTCTTGGCGAAACACATATTTCTGTCCGCCATTCTCTCTCCTTGCAAGTGCACATCTTTGACGTCCCGATTTGGATCTCCGATGCCGCCATCATACATGCACTCACAAAATACGGTACGGTGCAAGGCACCATTCGCCACGGCCGTACCCGCACAAAGTCGGGCGCATTTGTCGGAACAGGCGTACGCTTCGCAACTGTTCGCCTGAACAACGGCTGCAGGCAGGTGCCATCTTTCGTGCGGACAGCCGAAGGCAATACCTTCCGCGTGAAGCATGAGGGCCAGGCGCCAACTTGCCGCCTCTGCAACTCAGAAAATCACCTTGCCGGCTCCTGCCCTAAATCGAACAAGCTACAAAACAAACGGACCCGCACTTCAACCAACACGCGGCAGAACCAAAACGAAGACGCAGCACCAAATCCAACACTGGCGACAGCCCTGCCAGGCCAGGCCAGCTTACCGTACGCACAGGCAGCGACCCCGGCCCCTGCCAGCACACTCGTACAGGAAATCACCGAAACAAGCAACACACAGACCCAAAACGACGATCCAGCACCAGATCCGCCTCCACAGGCCAGGTCAGCTTACTGTACGCACAGGTAGCGTCCCCTGTGACCTCTGCCAGCTCACCCGCACAGGAAGTCACTGAACACAGCCAGCCCAGCAAAAGTGCAGACCAGCATGGACACACTGCCAGTGCCTCTGATGAGCACCAAACTCGTACTCGTAGAACTAGTACAGATATCGATCGAGCCGACGAGAGCGCAGTCCGCGCACTATCACCCAGCGCAAGCATGTACTGCCACTCACCAGGCTCACCTCGCACGGCAGCGGAAGACGACAGCAACGACGAGAGCCTATTTGAGGAAGATGGAAACCGCGCCGAACAACTCCTGCAGAAGCTCAATGCAGCGGAGGAAGAATGGAAACTCTACACCGGACGTCGCAGACGCAGACGCCACCAGCTAGAGCAGACGCCCCCAGGCGCACAACATCCACATGCCTCTAAAAAACAAAAACAAAATAAGCTAGCTGACCAGAGTCCTACAGGAGTCACCATGGACCATGCACGCCTGAACTGGAATCATCATCAACACCAGGTCCCACCAGTGAAAAAAAAAAAAAAAATTATGAAAAACGGAAATGAACAAAATAGCATCTCTTTCTTCTCCTTCAACGCTCGCAGTCTCTACCCCAAAATGGACGAACTGTCAGCAATAGCATCGTCAACAACGCCACCTTATGATGTCATTGCTGTCTCTGAAACATGGTGTACCCAGCACGACCCAGACTCCCTGTTTGCCCTCAGTGGATACACACTACACCGTGCAGACCGCCCAGACCGCCAAGGTGGAGGAGTGATTCTCTACGTGAACGACACTATACCTCATGAACTCGTCCCTACAACAACCCCAGACAGCGTTGACCTATTATCGCTGAAACTGTCAGCCAACGACAGCACCATCAACACAACATGCGTCTACCGACCACCCCGTTGCGACCATCGGCTATTCTGCCAGCACCTTGAGGAACTGATACGAGCCATACCAACAACAACGCAAAAGATTATCCTCGGTGATTTTAATGCAAAGAACGCCGCTTGGTGCCACTCTGACACGACAGATGCTGTTGGCGAGGATCTAGCAGTGCTGTTCCAAACTTACTCTCTACACCAACATGTCACATTCCCCACTCTTGTGCAGAATGGGCACCCTAAATCCTGCCTAGATCTCGTCGTCACGGATGTAGACAGCGACTATGTCCTTATCTCTAGTCTCCCGCAGATCGGCAACTCGGACCACCTATCCATCAGGGGTTTAATCAAGCCAGTCGCTGCACCCCCTCGAGCCGTACCACCTCCCACCCATAACACCACCCATTGGAAATGGTCAAACCCAAGCATCAGCAGTCTGAAAGCCGAAATTGAACGCACACAACTGCTACCGGAAGGTGACACCCTGAACACTACCAACATAGACAACCTGTGGCACTCATGGAAGGACAAAGTCCTCACTTGCGCCCGCAAACACTGTGCAGTACCTCACTCCCCGAGGCATACTAGCCACCCCGCAAAGCCATGGCTGAACCCAGAGCTCACTAACGCCATCAGAGAAAAACACCGGCTCTACCGTGCCTACTTGCGCACCCGGACGCCCTGCAACTGGACAGCATACACCACCCAACGCAACAAAGTTACTCACCTTCTCCGAATCGCTAAGTCTACATATGTCAGTAATGGCACTGGGACGAGCCACTCCACACCAAACCTACACAAACTGATGCGCGGCCTCCAGTCCTCACAACGGCCTACTCTGCCAGACATGCTCTCCCAGGGCCAGACTCTCTCAACCCCCGCTGAAAAAGCAACCGCCCTGAACGCTTTCTTCATCTCGCAGAGCCAACAGTCAGTCACAGGATGCCACGAGGAACTTCCCTCCATTCATTCCCCCACACCCAATACACCTGGCCTAACTACACTTGAAACAACAGCCCAAGAGGTCTCAAAGTTACTGTCTAACCTGGACCCGTCAAAGAGCGCGGGCTGTGATGGCATACCAACCCGCCTACTGAAAGAGGCAGCCAGTTCACTTGCGCCGTCCCTAGCAACCCTTTTTAACATCTCCTTCGAACGTTGCACTATCCCGCAAGAGTGGAGGGACGCAACAGTCACCCCCATCCACAAGAAGGGCAGCAAAACCGAGCCCTCCAACTATCGACCCATATCGCTACTCAGCGTGACGTCGAAAGTACAAGAGAGGATAGTTGCTGACCGCATCTCAAAGCACATCCAACCTCACCTCCCCAACGGCCAATCAGGCTTTCGGCCAAACGATGGCACCACACAGCAGCTATCTCGGTTAATCCATCAGATCACCGAGAAAAGAGACGCCGGGCAAACAGTAATTGCTTGCTTCTTCGACCTCTCTAAGGCGATTGACCGGGTGTGGCACCAAGGACTGCTTGTAAAATTGGCCCACCTCGGACTCGATGGCAAATGCCTCCAGTGGCTTGCCTCCTATCTCACCAATAGACGACAACGTGTGCAAGTGGAGAGCAGCAAATCAACATGGCTAAACATTCCAGCGGGGGTCCCCCAAGGCTCTGTCTTGGGGCCGCTTTTGTTCACGGCCTACACAGTTGATCTGCCAACCGCCT